TATTGTAAAGAAAGCAGGGACGGAAGATCTGGGGAAGTCTAGTTGATTATGAAAAAAGATCTGGAAAAGTGAATTTTCTTGTATAACAATTTTTTCTTTTTTTTTCTGTAAAACCGCTTTTGTTGTGATATTGATGATGTATCTTGACCTTGGAAAAAAAGCAATAAAAAATATTATAAAAAAAAAATAAAAAAAATTGCAAAGTGCAGCAAAATATTAAATCAAAGCACTGAGCAGTTGCTGGAGGTGGGGGGGCTTTTCAACAACCAGAGAAAGCCCGACTGATGAGGGAGAGAAGGATCTCACTTCTCTGGATTGAATGCAGAACAGAGATAAAGAGATGCCTGTAGGAATTGCATGCCAGTAGATGTGGAAACTTCATGGATCGAGCAAGGAGGCATGATCCCGCTCCACCTTCATGCTCTCAGTCATTTCATGAGTAGAATGTGGGGACATTGTGTTGGGGGCATTGAGAGGCTACCTTATACCAGGCGTAGCTAATTACATGTAAACTTATATGCGTATGTTACATGCAGAATATGTATAAAAGAGGCAAACCCAATGCTGTACTATATTTCCACGGCACAATTTTAGAAACGAATTAAAACATACATATCATTATACAATTATATACATGTTTGCATGTATATGTTTGAAATGCTAGCTTAGGAAACTTGGAATGTATAAGCATATAGCATGCATGTAATATCATTTGTACAATAATGCATATATTGATGCATATACTATACTTGAATTTTGTATATATATTAAGCAAAAGGGTACTGCTTCTTGCAGAGATTAAGAAGCAAGACAGGGATTAGAAAAAAATTCATGTGGTTAAGATCGACATCAGGATTTTCAGATAATTCCATCCCGCATTTTATTACAATTCGCATCTATCGTGTCTTTGATGCTTCCAAACATCCACACACACAAAAAAACTAACTAACTGACATTCATACTTAAGGGGTTGGAGGCATCAACCTTATTTAACTCCAGCATGTCACCAAGGCCATGCTGCAGCTCAGTACTGATTCCAAGTAGATGGGACTGCACACGTAGCGGCCAGCCGCTATGCCACATATATAGTTGGATCAGAGCCATCAGATTTTGCTATTCAGCTCATTAGAACAGTCCGTGTTGCAAAAGACGATGAAACACTCCTGGATAGATAACAATAACTATTAAAAATAACTGCAGTGTATTTATTTCACACAATGTTACCGCTGGAAACCTTTCTTTTAATGGTCATTGAGATAACAAGATGAGATTAATGATATCTTCCATTCACAAAGGTAGCAAAACGACCTATTTTCAGTAAAGTGGAGGCACTTCATCTTAATCAACAGATGGCAAATTAATACTGAAAGGTTTATGTATTTTCATTTAGGTACACAAATGCTGGTTCTGTTTTCTTCTATGTTATGCTCGTGACTTGTTGGAGGGAAGCTGTTAAGGACCGAGCTGGGGGGGGGGGAGAAAATGCAAACCATTTGGGGGAAACATATGTTTGTAGTCCGCCTCCTTCTTTTGCTTGGGCCTCCCTGTGACTCAAGTCTGCAAAGCCTGAGGTATAGCTCTGTTGAAGGGGCAAGGTTTAGGATAGTTAAAAGCATGTGATTCAAAAAATGTCAATGGCTCCATTCCCCACTCATTTATTTTTATTTATAAGCTTACTTTCCCCCCTTCACCATATAAGGTCCCAGGGTGACTTACAGCAAAGGAGTATAAAGTTATAAAACATAAAACTGCTAACAATAATAAAAACAAGTCAATCATTCCAAATGGAACACAGCAGTATAGATCCAATAAAAGGTGGGTACCACAAAACAAAAGATCTTAATTGACAAAGGCCAGGATAAAGAAGTAAATTCAGTTTACGGCAAGTGCTGTACAATGAAGGTGAAACAGGCACCTCAGTGGAGAAGGACTTACACAGCTTAAGGGCTGCCTCTATGGATGTTGGTGACTTCTAACAAAACAGAAAAGGAGGCAGAAATTGCTGCAGTTCACATGTTTGTCTGTGGTCTGGAACAGAAATCAGTTAAGTGAATGCAATTTGCATTTGTTCATATCATTGTTTTACAGTGTGTTGTGAATGTCTTTTTTCCACATTGCTTTGACGTTTACACTGAAATGAATGTAAGTTACATAAATAGTTAAATAGTGCAAGACAAATGACAGTATTTGTTGGAAAGTGAACCGTAGCAGAAAAGAAACAGTGTTGATGGTGACAAGTGAACATTGGAATGGAAATCACTGTCTTCTTGCATCCCCAGCTGTCAGAGAGAAAGTTATCTCTTGAAGGACATTCCCACACACTTATGTGGGTGACCTAAGTACCAAGAAAGCCCCTTCTGCAGATCTTAGTATTCAAGAAGCTTGGTAGGGATGAAGACAGCCTTTTTGATATTTGCCTTCCCCACACCCAGTCCATTGCTAGTCTCTAATTTCATAGTTTCATAGTCTTCTGGCAGGAATCTTGTGGTGGACCTATTGATTCTTATTTGACAGAGTTCTTCTTTAGCCAGTTGTTTGAATTTCTACAGCTACAGATAATTCTGTCTGCCTTGCTAAGGGATGTTAGGAGTGCAGTATGAATGCTGAGAACTTGGTGTGCCCCCGCCCGCCCCCAGACACAGCTGCTGGCTCAGAGCTTATTGCCAATACTCAGGCTCACCAATCAATAGAACATAATTAAGCAGCTTCAGAATGCTGCAGGCAAGCTCTGTTGAACACATCTGCTGGCTGAAACTCAAGCTGTGATGAGCATGTCATAGAAAGAGAGTGAATCCAAACCATTTATGGGTATTAAGGCTGCATTCTTAAAACACGCTCGCACCTCATTGAACATAGTGGGACTTACTTCAGTGTAAACACACAAAGGACTGGACTGCAAGGTTGCAGTTCTTTTGGCATACTTAAAAGCAGGGACAGAGAAGCTTTTTCAGCCTAAGGGCTGCATATGTGCTGGGATAACTCAGCAGAGCAGGAGACTCCTAATCTGAGGGACGTGGTTTTGAACCCAACATTGAGCAAAATATTCATACATTGCATGGGTTCGGACAGTGCTTTTTTCAGGAGGTACTCAGGGGTATGCAGTACCAGTACCTTGTTGTTGTTGTTGTTGTTAAAAAGTGTGGCACTTACTATAACAACTTTATGGTGAGTACCAGCACCTATTTTTCTAGAAAAAAAGCATTGGGTTGGGACTTGATGACTCTTGTGGTCCCTTCCAACGCTACAGTTCTATGATTCCTTTCTGCCAATGGTGGGTAGAGCCAGAGACAAAAGAGGCAGAGCAACAAATGCAAATTTTAGTTTTGTACAGTATGCTAGTTTCTGAACATCCCCTCCTCTTTTCTACCCAGACAAGCAAAAGGCATTATCAGGGTTCACTGAGGCAACATGCCATAGGAGTCTGTGCAGCATGACGTGTGTGTGGAGAGAGAGAGAGTGCAGCTGTGGCTGGGGAGGGTGTGTGGTGTGGAGAGAGCCCTGCAGGCCAAACAGAGACCTGGTTGGCCACATTTACCCCCTGGGCCTGAGGTTTCTCCACCCCACTTAAAAAATAGAGAATTCCAAAAGAATGTTACAAAAGACAAGGGTTACAAACCATCTGAAATGCAAGTAGAATATGATGTTTCAATTTGTTAGTCTGTGCAATCAATAAATTAAGGAGATTATAGGTATAGGTATAAATATAAAAAGATACCTGAGAAGGTTAAGCCAATCATGAGTGAACTGGGGTTCTTAACTGTAGTAAACCACAGGGTTATATTTAATTCACTGAACCAAGTTTGAATTTTGATAGGCTGTTGAATAAAAGCAGTTATTCTCTGCAGGTTTTTTTTAATATAGTGGATCGGTCTATTCCAGTCTGTGTTAATTTCACAAATGTTTATTCATTAGTCCTTTCAGTCTTATTTCCATATTAATCTGCATATTTTGTTTTTTTAAATCTGTATGAAAATTCGTACATGAATTTGTATTTAAATACTTTAATATATGTACTTCATAAGAAAATACATATTTATATAATATTTTTGCTCAGTGTATGCATTTCTAAATGTCTTTATCCTATAATGCTGAGAGCTGTATTGCAAAGTCAGAGAAGTGCGAAATCCAAAGATTATGTTCCTTTCCATGCATAAGTCCAGGAGGTGAGAATCAAGTTAGTTTGCCTAAAAATATAAACCAGACAAAACTGTTCTTCATCCCTACATGTGGTCCAGGGTGTGATCCATAAGCTGATCAGAGCACACTTATTTGGGAGCAAGCTTCATTTAGTATAGTGGGACTCACTATGGGATAAACCTGCATAGAATCAGGCTGCATCTTATTAGGGATACAGGAGAAATTTGATGCAGTTCACATTTAAACCTACCTAACTCACATTTTTCAAAACAGTATAAGATTTGAAACACAACTATCCTTTGAAATGCGGACTTCTCCAAATTTTACAGGGCAGTTATCCAACCAGGCAATATGTACAAAAATGTATATAAAATGTGTTGTATATCGTGAAAATAACATACAAAATGTGTTGTAATAGGGAAAACTTGCTTGTGAAAAAATGTATATACTAGACTGAAAGGAGAAATTTGCTCCATAATGCAGATGAATTTTCAAGAGAACCATATACATAAATATGTATGTATATATATATATCTAGCCAGAAACTGATGAGGAAATGTGAAGGACTGAACTTAAGATTGGGAAAATGAGAAACTGGGAGAATCTGTCCAAAATAGAGATTCACCCACCCATACTAAGTGCTTGTTTCAAGCTTCTATTCAAGAAGCTCTAAAACAACTTTTCCTTCAGATGATAACTCATCTCTGTTGACCATTTGCACAAACAGTATTCAGCTATGACAGAATGGTTGTATAGCAAGGAGAGTGGTAATATGTCACATTGGTAATAAAATTGATTGACTGATAAAAATTATCATGGACAATGATAATACATAAAGTTTTGTTTAATTGTTCTCTTCCTAGATGGTTGCCCAGGTCTGTGTTATGGAAATGGAAGATGCACACTTGATCAGAATGGATGGCACTGTGTCTGCCAGGTGGGCTGGAGCGGAATGGGATGCAATGTTGTCATGGAAATGATGTGTGGAGACAGCATCGATAATGATGGAGGTACGGGCATGCTTTATGACCCCCATGTTTTGTACAATTAGATCCTATGTATTGCCTTTTTGAGGGATGCAGGTGGCGCTGTGGGTTAAACCACAGAGCCTAGGACTTGCTGATCAGAAGGTTGGCGGTTCAAATCCCCGCAACAGGGTGAGCTCCCATTGCTCGGTCCCTGCTCCTGCCAACCTAGCAGTTCGAAAGCATGTCAAAGTGCAAGTAGATAAATAGGTACTGCTCCGGCGGGAAGGTAAATGGCGTTTCCGTGTGCTGCTCTGGTTCGCCAGAAGCGGCTTAGTCATGCTGGCCACATGACTGGAAGCTGTACGCTGGCTCCCTCGGCCAATAAACGAGATGAGCGCTGCAACCCCAGCATCGGTCATGACTGGACCTAATGGTCAGAGGTCCCTTTACCTTTTATTGCCTTTTTGCTGTCTTACTTCCCATCCCGCCGAGGGCTATCTGTAATCAAAAGTAACTTACCATTTAAGTTTTTAGTACTGATCCTGTTTTGACTAGCAAGCTTGTTGCTTGCTCGTTTTTAAACTAATTTCACTCTTTTAATTTTCTGTTATTTGTGAGCCTATTTGGGGCTAAAAGCAACTATATCACATGAATATTTAAACTGGCAAATAAACAAAGTGAAGGACCACACCACAGAGTGCACAATTCAGACACGATTCTCTGAAGTGGGATAATAATGTGCCCTCCCAACCATTTCTTCCCACCTCCAAACTCTTCATCTTCAAATATGCACATAACATTAAAGGCACCTCTCTCAATCTGAAACAGTGCAACAGATGCACAGCTGTGGAGTGCTGATTTGAGCTTGTGGCGTACATCTGTGCCATGCTGGCAGGACTTAATGATAGCAGCCGTGTTCAGCTGATGCCCGCCGTGGCAAAAATTTCTGAGTTTTCTGAGAAATTGTCACATTTTACTACTTTCATTTTATTCCTGTTTGCCTCTCCCACTTTGCTCCTTTGGCACAGCAGCCACAAGTTTCCTGACTAGGAGTGGCCTAAAATATCTGGAGGGCACCAGGCTGGCAAAAGATGATCTAAGTTGATATTTCAAATCTGCTGAAAAGGTTCACACACACACACACACACATGCTTTTGTATGTTCAGCTATTGTTCAAAAAGCAGCAGGGATGGTTCCATATAAACTGCCTGTAAAGCCTATGCTGAAATCTCTGAGTGTGACATTCTCACATTAGAGCCTCAGGCTCCAGAATAATGGCACTACCTAAAACCAGAACCAACAAGACTGCAGATTGCAAGCAGTCTGGGTGAGGATCACATCACTTCTAAGCTTTCTGTAGAGCATAGAGCATGCTGTGGCTCTACAGAGATGTGTCCAAGCCTCCAAACAGATATTCACTCTGATTACCAGATATTCTTACTTAGGCTGTGCAGCTGGTATTGAGTAAAAGCGGAAGTGTTCCAAATTTGATCCAGGCCCCAATCTTGCCATCCTACAACCTGCAGTTACAGCCCTCCTTTGACCCCCATCCTTCTAAGCCCCCCCCCCTTTGAAAAGAGCAACAGACAATGGTAGTTTTTATTGGTGTTTTTGCATACAAAATAAGATCTCCAAAACCAAGGCCTCAAAAAACAATCCCAGCAGCAGAAGTTGAAACAATTTTAATGTTGTTATGTATTTGTCAGGGAACTGCCATCGGAAGGACAGGAGGTGGAAGGGCTCACAGAGGTTGAGAGAGACTTAGCAGCTGAAGAGGGAACCAGCAGGGGGAGAGAAGGAGCTCCAAGGGAAAGTGAGTCGGAGGGATGGCTCAGGGACACTTCGAGCAAAAATAGTGGGGAGGTTTCAGGACCTCCTATAGGGACACCCACTCCTCGCCGGAAACTGTCGCGCAGAGAGTCCAGAAGACGTGTTTCCGTTAAGGAGCTTTTATGCTGGAAGAGATTCCGTAAGCGCCCACTGTCGGATTCTGCTAGCGACTGACGGAGCCATGCTTGAGGGGCTCCGTCGTAGGCAGAGGTTTGCGGACTTGGCCAAACTCTGAGGGACTAGGATTTTACGCACAAGCAGCTCATCATCCCATCACAGTATTTCTTTTATATCCTGCCTTTCCTTCTGGAGGAGCCCTGAATGGCAAACATATCTGTACTATAAAATATTATAGGAAGCATCCTAAAAACAGTGTCTGTTAATGTCAGTGGGCTGGACTAACAAAGGGTACAATCCTAGCAAGTATGTAGCTTGTGGACGCATCTATGCTGTTAGAGGCCAAAGTGCCCTCTGTAACTAGGAGTGCCTTCATTTTGTACACCAGCTGTAGCCATATCTGGATCAGGAGGATCTGACTACTAGAGTCCTAGCATTGGTAACCTTGAGACTAGATTACTGCAATGTGAGGCTGCCCTTGGCCCTGAAACTCCAGCTGGTGTAGGTGATGTGACACCTCTGCTAAAACATCTCCATTGGCTGCTCATCTGCTACCAGGCCAGGTTGAACTCTCTTATGTTAACATACAAAGCCCTGACCACTTGGATCTTGTATCTTTTACAGACTGCCTGAGCCCTTATATCCTAGCTGAGATAATCCAGAGTAGCAATGTTAGTTGCCCTTCATGCCACAGAGGCCCAACTTACCTCAACCAAAAGTTAGGCATTTAGTGTTGCCCATCTCCGTGCTGGGGAACATTCTTTAAGCAGAAATACATCAGACATCTTCACTTTTGACTTTTAAGTGTCTCTTCAAGATTTTTTTATGCCAACAGGCCCACATAGCAGTTTTGAATAACTTTTGTTTAACCATTTTAAAACAATTGTTTTGCAAGGTTTTTAATGTTGTTTTGTATTTTATTGTTTTATCATATGTTGCTGTAAACTGTCCTGATATTTTATAAGATGGCAGCAGGGCTTTTTTTCCAGCTGGAACTCAATTCCAGCACCTCTCAGGTGGGTGCATTGCCATTATAAGAGAACAAGGGAGGTGTTCATGGTGAATTCAGGCACCTCTTTTATTAGAAAGATAGCACTGTGTTGTATATTAGTTGTTTATTGTATATACAACACAGGACGCTGTTGGCGCTGTGGTCTAAACCACTGAGCCACTTCGGCTTGCCGATCGGAAGATTGGTGGTTCGAATCCATGCAACGGGGTGAGCTCCCATTGCTCTGTCCCAGCTTCTGCCAACTAAGTGGTTTGAAAGCATACCAGTGCAAGTAGATTAATAGGTACTGCTGCGGCAGGAAGGTAAACGGCGTTTTTGTGTGCTCTGACACTCGTCACGGTGTCCCATTGCGCCAGAAGCGGTTTAGTCATGCTGGCCACATGACCCGGAAAGCTGTCTGTGGACCAGCGCCGGCTCCCTTGGCCTGAAAAGCAAGATGAGCACTGCACCCGACAGTCGCCTTTGACCGGACTTAACCGTCCAGGGGTCCTTTACCTTACCTTTACCTTTACAACACAGAGCAAAAAATATATAGGAACTTGCTGTCATTCCATCCCAAATACTCTAGCCAAACTTGAACCTAGCTTTCCTACTTTTATTTTCCTTCCTTCCTTCCTTCTCCATTGTTTTTTTCCTTACTGATGTAGATAAAACTAACTCAGCTTATCATTCTTTCACATATAGATTATTGCACAGTATTATTTTCTGATCTTCCTATCTCACATTGTAAGCTGCTTATCTCTGTCCTTAATTCTTCTGCTTACTGATCTTGCACAGCAGTCCAACATGTATCTCCTTTTTTCTTCTCTCTTCCTCATTTCATATTGAATAGGAGGTGCCGCACCTTGTTTTCCTTACCTCGCTACTCTGCTTTCAATATATTTACCTTCTTGCATTGTGTGACCAGGTGGCAACAGCCCCAGCCCCCAGGGATATGGAATTAAAATTAGGCCAAACTTTATTAAACTTCCGAATGTAGGAAGACCTTGGCTTAGGCCTTGGGCATGTATACCTCCCAGTCCCTCAGCCGGGGGGAACTGGGGCTCATCAGCGTAAATGGGATATGGGGGTGCTTTGTGAGACATAAGTGTAGCAGGCAGCCAAGCCCATATCCCTGCACGCAGGGTAGTTCATTGATGACCTTTCAGTGTATGGCCAGTGACACCCATACATAGCCCCTTTAAGAGGGGACCCTGAAATCCCTGCCGCAGGGGGGTGAGTCACCACATCATCCCCCCCATATAGGAGAGAAAAGACTACAGGATTCCACCCAAGGCCATAACACCAAAGTTGTGACGAATTGCTACGGGGAAGACAAAACCTGGCAATGGAGGAAAATTTCTTCCCAGTCCTTCAACAGTAACCAGTCAAAGACTGTAGCAGCGCCCTCTAAACAGGAAGAAAAAGTTAATCTGCTAACAAGAAACATTAAACAAAGGGAGGGTAGGAAAGGTGAACCTCCAGAGCCGACTGCCTGGCTATTGTTGGCTCCACCCCTATTTATAAATGTGGCTGGGCCCACCTCCCAGCAAAAAACTTGATTACTGAGGCTGGGTGTGAACCTCCAAAAATTAACACTGAGAGGCAAGCCAGCCCCTATTTGCCAGTAAGCTCCCTGGGAACCGTAGCACCACGCGCGATCCTTCAAAGGGCACCCACAATGTAAAGTGTGAGTGCTCATTCTCCATTCTTCTGTTGGCTATTGCACCACCAACTTCATTCTAAACTCTCCCCTCAGCTGGCCCCCACCTGCCTAGCTCTTTACTTACCACCAGTCCAGGGGCTGTTATCTCCAACTATGGGCCACCTAGCCTTTTATCACCCCCCATTGGAGATTCACCCTTCCCCTTCTTGCACAGGTACTTCATTGTGTGGAGAAAAAGTAGGGCATAGATGTATGGATGGTAAGCAAGGAATGCTGAAATTGTCGCCCGCCCGCCGCACGCACGCACGCATGCGCGCGCACACACACACACACACATATAATATCCATGGTGTTTCTATTGTTAAGTCTCTTTGAGATGTTTCCTAGGAAGAGATCGTAAATGCAGGTAAATAAATATATAATGCATTCTTCCCAGCCGTTGATCCTTTGGCTGCTGTATTGCAACATTTTTTCCTGTATTATCCATTTCAGATGGTTTGACAGACTGTATAGACCCTGACTGCTGCCAGCAAAGCAATTGCTATTCAAGCCCGCTCTGTCAAGGGTCCCCTGATCCCCTTGACCTCATTCAGCAGAGCCAGCCTCCTTTCTCTCAGCATCCTCCAAGGCTCTTTTATGATAGAATCAAGTTTCTTATTGGCAAGGAAAGCACTCATGTAATCCGAGGAGATGTCTCATTTGAGAGCAGGTAAGTGTTTTGTGTGTTTTCTTTACTACTGAAAGCTGCTTTCCAAATTGAAGGTACTCAACCACTACACGGGTAGGAATGGTTGGGGTGTGTGTGTGTGTGTGTGTGTGTGTGTGGAATTAAATGATCCTTTATAACTTCTTTGGGGAATATTGCCTGGTCTTCTCCACGCTTAAAATAAAGCCATAAACAGATATTTTAGATCTGCTGCATAGGTCTTTTACACATATATACTGTTTTCAGTTTTCAGTCATGAAATAGCGTTGACATGCAAAAATGTCCAATAACTTAATAAAAAATAGTTTACATTTGTTTACATTTAAAACAACAGGAAGAATGCTGCAGTCCTTTTAAAGCTTTTTTGGGAAGCTCTGACCAAGAAGGATACTTCCTTTTGAAAGATAAATGGCCCCATGTAGAATCATCTCAGGAGCTCATGGTCACATTCTATGATATTTCTGTATTTTTGGTTGAATTCTGATGCTATTTTATGTTGCTTTGATTGATGTATATCTTGTACTTTTATTGTATGTTTCTTTTGAGTTCATATGTGTTAATCTTGTTCACTGCTTTGGGGACCTTTGGGCTAAAAAGTTGTATATAAATGAAACGTACCATGCCATAAGGACTCCCCACATGTGGTAAATGAGCACACCACAGAAAGGATGATGTATGCTGATGCACTAGTTTGCTACACGCAGGAAAGGCTGTGTGTCTTTGGAATGTTTTCAGGCATAGGACCAAAATTTATGGAAGGGCCATAGCAGCTTAGCAGTAGAACAACATTTCAGTCTCCAGCATCTTCAGATAGGAAGGTCTTACCTGAAACCCTGAAGAGCCTCTGGCAATCAATGTCAATGATACTAAGCTGGGTGAACTAATGGCCTGACCCAGTAAAAGGCAGCTTCCTATTCCCTTGCCCAAAGAATTCAGGGGCTATAACAGAATAGGCTCTGACTGCTGTGGAAGGAACTGTAGCTCAATGGTAAGTTCATAGTTTGGATGCAGAAGGTCCCAAGTTCAATCCTTGACATCTCCATTGGGGTGGGGGGGAGATCCAGGAGGCCGATGAGACACTGGAAAGCTAGTCAATATTTAACACTGGGCTAGATGTACAAATACTTATATTCCTGTGAAAAAGTTGAAATCTGGAACTGGGCTTCTTCGTTGGTTGTTCTTAAATTGGGGAGAAATTTCCAAAGGCAAAGTGACGCTTCATATGTGGGGCTAAGCTGGTGCAGTTTGTGAAGGAAGAGCCATTTGGGAGACTCTTGAATGATGTACATGATGTAGATCTGTGTCAGTTTGTTTGGAATGGCATGGAGGGGGTAATCTGTGGACAGAAACCAGCATAGTAGAGAAGAACAGAAAGATCTTCCTGATCTAACAAATAGCTCTGTGTACCTTACACCAATAAAGACATTTAAACCAGTTTGTTCTGTTGTTGAACTAAAAATGAGCAGGATCCTACAGCCAGAACAAACCTCTGAAGGTGGCTTGCTTAAGCAGGTAGTATCAGGCTGGAGTTGCATGAGCTTGGCTAAGTCTAAGCAGAAAAGACTCTCCTGGATCAGAGCAAAGGCCTATCTAGTCCAGCATCCTGTTTCCCACAGTAGCTAGCCCTGATGTCTCTTGAAAGGTTCAGCATCATGACATGAGGGCAATAGCCATCTCCTGTAGTTCCCAAGTAACTGTATTGAGAAGTGATGCTGCTTTTTCTCCTGGAGGCAACATACTGCCATTATGGCTATTAGTCTTATCCTCCTGACAAGGTCTGGAGTTCAACTGAGCCCTTCTGTACATCTTGATCTCTCCTTTCACGAAAAGTAGAGTGACTTTAAAGAGTAGTCCTTTATCTTTGAGCCTTGCACTCTGTCACAGTCTATTGGAAGCATTGGGGTGCAACTCTCCTTGGAGGCTGATGTGCCTACATAGGAAAAAGTAGATAGAGGGAGTAACCTCCCAGGTTTCCTCAACTGTCCTTTCTGACCTAACCTGTGGTGACCTTTCCTCAGGTGCTAGACTGATAGGCTTTTTGACCTCATTACCTGCTTCCTGCTTCTTCATCCTCACCTTAGGAGAGGATACGTCTTTTCTGTCCTGCTTACTGAGGTACAAGAGCAAGCATGGCTCAAGGCAATGTCACCTTAGCTAGGATATTTCTTAGCCAGCATATACTTTCCTGAATGAATGTAGCTTTCTTATTTTCCTAAACTCAGAGTCTCATGGTGATTCTATCCAAGTTAAGTGTGCCCTTCAGTAGGAATGCACAGTATTAAGTTCAACTTCTGGTTAGCGTTTTAACTCCAAATGCCAGCACAGTCAGCATGAGGCCTCTGGGGTACAGAAGGGACAGTTCCTTAGGGTGAATCTGGTTCAAGAGGTGCTGCCTCTTGGGGGCCTGTTTTGGTTCTCTGGTCAAAGGGGCTGCTGGCTGACTGGCTCAGGCCTGGTAGCAAGGCCTAGGTTCAGTCCCTCCATGGCTTGCACCACTGGTCTTCCTGAACCAGCTGTATGAACCAGTATGATGTAATTCCTCATCCAGCCAGGAAATTCTCATCAGTTCTTGTTCAAACAGGGAATTATCATCAATGTGCCTTAGATTCAGTTTGCTGAAAAATAATGGTGGTTGTGTGAGTGAATGATATATTTTGAGTCTATAATACATATGTGTGTTTCGGTGTGACTATAGAGAAGTAGTTTAATGCTCTGAAGGCAAGGTTACTGATATTTTCCTCCGAAAAGGGAGTAACATTTGAAATATGCAGCTCATAAGGTTTTATACAGCAGCCCACCCCAGGCAACTATAATTTATGTACTGGTGTCGACAGCCACAGATCATCCATAATACCTAACAGTTTCTCATGTACCTTGGCCTGTAAATTAGATTTCTTGGTTCTTAAACATTGTTGTACTGAAGGAGAAAATATAGCTAGTTGTGCTGATGTACTAGAGAGGGAGAAATCCCAAAATAAGGATAGGATAATATCTTTATTAGATCAGTGCCTGGATTGGCAGCCACCTGAGGACTCCACACACACCACTCTGAGATCCATCATGAAAGATAAGCAGGATATGAATGTAATTAAATAAAAAATATTAGGTTAGACCATGCTAGGTGCAAAACAGATTTGAGGTTGCACCAAAGGTTAATAGGAAGAAGGGGAAAAAACAACCATTCTACCTTTGAAAACAAAAAAGGCAACATTTGGATTCATTTCCTATGTGCTGCAATTAACACGATAGGATCTTAATTGTTCTTTGTGCTGAATGTCAAAATTGCATGCCAAACATGCTTTTAAAGGAAGCTGGGAGGCTTGTATGATGTGGAAACAATAAGAGGCAGGTATTAAAATGCCCCTGTGAAGGAATGGGGCTTTCAGCATTTTGTGTTTGTGTTTTTGTATGCAAGTAATGGGTTATAGAATGGTTTTGCTCTAAAGGATCTCATGCATAAGAAGGTTAAAAAAACAACTCACACAAATGTTAAAAGTTCAAGGGAATGTTTTGCTCAGAATGCTGTTCACAGGAGGGTCAAAAGTTTAAGAGGATATGTTTTGCGCAGGAGATTCAAAAGTTGTTCCTAAGAACATGGCAATTCAAGGGAAGTAGAAACTTAACTAAGATACTACTCATCTACTGATTAAAGTGCTGGAAGTTAGCTAAACATCAAGGACTTTGTTGTGAAGAGCTGGAGTTTAAGAGCTTTGTTGTGAAGAGCTGGAGTTTAAGAGAATAAGAGGGATAAACAGTTTTTAAGACTGTGTGAACACTGGAAAGTGTTGGCGTTTCCAGTTGGATGCTGCAGGAGGAAGAAACCAAGAGAAGACCACAAATGGATCCACAAGCTGAACTGTGGGGTGAAAATTGTTAAGTATTGGCTTGATTCAGGAAACATTCTAGAATAGGTATAGCTGGATGCTTTTATCTGTTAAACTCTAATGGATAACTAAGCAAACTTTAAAATTTGAGTCTTTCACCCCGAATTTTTTTCCCTCAACCTACTTAACTTTTCATTTTGCTAAATTCTTAAGTAAAATCATAATACGGTCTGAAACATTATTATTCACCCTGTGTCTGAATGCTGTACCACTTTATCTAATACTGGAAGAAAAGAAGAGACTGAGAGGAGATCTGATAGCCATCTTCAAATATCTAAAGGGCTGTCACATGGAAGAAGGAGCAAGCTTGTTTTCTCCTGCTCTGAAGGGTAGGACCCAAACCAATAGATTAAAGTTACAATAAAGGAGATTCCAACTAAACACCACAAAGTATTTTCAGTAATAACTGTCTGACAGTGGAACAGACTTCCTCGGAAGGTGGTGGACTCTCTTTCATGGGAGACTTTAGTTGAGATTCCTGCATTGCAGGGGGGTGGACTAGATGCCCCTTGGGGTCCTTTTTAGCTTTACAATTCTATGATTCTAAGTTCAGAAGCGCTGTTTGGTATGAGCAGCCAGAGATGGGGGAAATATATCTACAGAGTGACAGCAGTGAGGTTTTTAAAAAAGGGGGAGTTGGTTTGGCTGATTTGTTTGAGAGGAATAAAAAGAGAAGCAAGGCAGAGACTTTCATAATTGATAGGCAATGGCTTGACTGTTTTGGGAACTGTACTGGACTGTGATTTCAGGACTGACCCTAGGATTCCATCCCTGAATCTTCTTCAGAGACAGGAGCCTGTCTGTACAGATTGAACCTTTCTCTTTGCATTGGACCTGGACCTGTATTTGATCATTGACTCCTCTCTAGTGTTGCCGTTGGGACTGTTGTCAGTAGCACTTTCTGCTTACACTACACTGCTTTCTGTGTGCACTATTGGGACTTACCTCAATGTAAGCCAGGTTTCAGGACAGTTTGTGTACCCATGTTTACAAACCTATGGTTATTCATACGCGTAGTGAACTCTTTCAGTTCTAGGAATTATCTCTTTCAGTTAAACCAAGTTGACTGAACTAATTCAAAAATCTCTAAACTAAACCTGAAAGTAGTTTCCATAATTAAAGACAAATTAAGTTCATTTTTGGGGGTAGAACTTTGAATGATTCCTAGTTCATCTTCAAGTTCACTCCCTTTCTCTCTTAGCTTTATTTTTTAAAAAAGTAAGTCAAGTGGATATTTCTAAAGTTAGAAAACAAAAAGTGGAAGCAGCATTATAAGTTTCAGGCTATACTGTTGCTAAGCTCTATTAGCACTTAATCAGGAACAGCAGGAAGCACAATGTTGATGGAGTGTCTCCATCAAAAGAAGGAGGAGCAAAGGTATGAGGAGGAGATGCTGCAGTTGAAACAACCACCACCACCCAAGGTTACAACAAAGGATTTCATGGCATTCACCCCTGGAGAGGATCCCTATGTGACTCTTCTTACCTTTGCATGAACATTTCCTGTGACACTTGGCAAAAATCAATATCAATACTAAGCATTGGTGCAATGTATCAAGTATTCAGAGCATATCACATACATTATCTCAGTAATCCTTGATACAACCCTGTAAAGGTGACTATTGTTTTATCTCTGTATTGCAAACACTGAGATAGGGGAGTTGACATGGCTTAGTTCATGGCAGAGAGAAAATTTTGACTGGTGCTTACTAGATTTCACTAATAGTCACAATATAACACCAGTGTTCAGACTGCCCTTCAGTCACTTACCTTTCATGATGGACCCCTTAGCACTTCTAAATGAGCCAAATATATCGACCTACTTAAAGCGTGAAAAGACTTGACAGTCTGATGTTCATACTGTGGCCATGGATCGAGGGTGTGCATATTAAATAGTTTACCCGTTTTTAGCCACATGTTGCTAGCAATTTGCTTGATTTGCCTTCATGCATGTGACTAAAATTATTCTAGGCCTTGAGTTAATTGCCCTCCCGAGGCTGCTTAGACCAGGGTTGTCAGTAGGAAGGAAATGAATAAACCTTACTAGACCTTTTTTCCTTAATACATTTCACTGCAACATTTGATGCAATAAATTATACATTTCTTTGAGTAAAATTGCCATTTGTTAGTTTGTCTATCAGACATACACTTCAGCAGTTAATGCCTCTTCTGTTGGTCAGAAAAGACTTGTAATGTTATATGTAAGACAATGTACAAGCAATTGAAAATGCAAGACATACTGCTAGAGAAAGAAATCATTGACCCTAAGGCTATCCATAACTACTAGTCATGATGGCTATGTTCTACCACCACTATCAGAGGCAGTATTCCTGTGAATATGAGTTACTATAAAGAATAAGTGAAGAGGCTGCAGTAGTACTCAGGTCCTGCTTGTGGGCTACACATAGGCATCTGGGTGGGTACTAGAGCAACAGGATGCTGGACTAGATGGGTCATTGGCTAGATTCAGCAGGCTCTTATTGTTGTTGGTGTTGGCATCTGTCTGTCTTGGGAGACAATGGAAGGTGCACTTTGAGGGGTGAAGTCAAACATTTGGAGAGTTGCAGCGCCTGCTACAGCTGTAGAGACCCATACGAGAGAGACATAGTTTGTTGCAGCTGGGGCAGATGAAGGCTTCTGGTTTTGTGATGCAGATGCATCATGGTGTTTGTTCTCTCTCCAGTGGCCACCCCTCCTTTGTTCACTCTTGTTGATGAATGACCTGTCTGTCTCCAGGCACTACAGTCTTCTGCAAGGGATTCCCACATGGCAGGGTTGATGTTTCTAGCCTTCATGTCTCACTTGCAGTCATCTTTGTAACAGATATTGATCTGCCAAGGGGCCTGGTGCCTGAAGACAGCTCCCCTGCGAATCCAGCTGTTTTGTGGACATGCCTAAACCAGTGCAGATGTCACTGAGACAGGAGTGTGAATGTGGTAGGACTGTGGTATTAGGTGAGCACATCTTTATTTGAGACTCTGCCCTGTCATGTGATGCCCCAAAATTTCCTGACAACAGCACATGTGGAAGGTGTTGAGGCATCGCTCCTGGTGGTTGTAAGTCACTTCCATAAAGCAGCATGCTCAACACGCAAGGCTGGAAGACCTTCATCTTAGGATCAGTTGTTAGCATTACATTCTCCCATACCGTTTTGGGAGAGGGAGAGGCAAGCCATTGCCATGACTGCCTTGCCAATATGCTTATCCAGTTCAGTGTCAATGGAAAGGTTGCTGCTTATGGTGGATTCCTCTGCAAAATCCATGCAAGGGACCCTATTTTGTTAGGGGATTGCAATGCAAGCCCCTTCCTGAATCAGGTTGGAGTTTGTATGGAAACCTGCAAAACTGGGGAGGATTAAACCTTGCTCATCAGCTGGTGAGTGGGGGGTTAAATTATCCTTACTTTGACTGTGTGCACTGTTCCTCCTCCTGCCTCTTTAGCTCACACTGGCAATGCCATTTCAGCCTCAGTGGCCAAGGGAAATGGTGGACAATGGTAGAGCAAGATGGTTGCTGTGGACCCGCCTAGGCCTTTCATAACAATTCCTCCACAGCTCGCCTGGACCACCCACCTCTGTCTCAATCTATGCTTTTGTCTCTTATCTCCCTCTTCCGCTTCCCTTTCCCTCAGAGTCCATAACTGCTGTGATGGTGAAGCAGTTCTCAGAAGTTTATCATAACGCTGTACTTCACTGTACATCCTGTGCAACTATCATTGGATGTCTCAGTATTTCCTTTATTTATGTTCATTTCACCCTGTCTTAATGCAGACGTGCTTGTGTTGTTCGAGGCCAGGTGGTAGCGATAGATGGAACCCCCCTGGTTGGCGTGAATGTGAGTTTCCAAAACCACAATGATTATGGATACACTATCAGCCGACAGGATGGAAGGTGAGATAGTTTATTCTGTGTCTTCTGATATTATTTTACTTCATTTTTGAGAAGCATTTGGTTAATTCAGTTGTTGAAAATAACTTGGCTGTCAACTAATTAAATAATTAAGTCTGGAGACTCGTCTGTCTTTTAAACTGATAAGTTACTTGATTTTATTTTAATGCAGATCAGCAAAATATACAAATTTTGGTAAATATTTTTAGTTCATTTTTCAGTCGATAAAAGAAAAGTAAAGCAGCTATAACAAAAGATCAGAAATAGAGAACATTAATACAAAACAAAATAAATATATAGACATGCATGGTAAATGCAGTCTGTGGGTTGAGTAGAAAGGTGAAATTTGTACGTATTTGAATAAGGCACATTGGTAGTTTCTGTATAATTCCAAATTACCGAGTCTTGTGATGGTAGTTTTCTTGAGAATATTGATGCTGCTCTATAAGTAATAAAAAATCCCAAGGTTCTAGTCCTTATCTAAATTTCAAATTACATGTAATTTTCTCCAGTACAAAATATACCACATGCACTATAACAAACATAAATGAACAAAAGTCCTCATTAGAAAATAAAATATACCTTCAATGCTTTATTTTTGCTATTGTTTTATAGGTGATTGTATGGCTTTTGTTGTATTCATTGTACCACTTTTACTTTTTTCTGATTTTACATCATGCTTTGGATTTTTATATTTTTGTAAGTCACTTGGAGATTTCTTACGTGGCAAGCAACTAATAAATTGAAATAACAGTAATTGTAATACACCACCCCAATATCTGAGCGACAAGAAATTCTAGGAGTTTCAGACACTTACTCAGTGTTCGGCTTTGTTGCAGTGAGAGACAGTGGAGCCTGTTGTATCTTTGGGATATGTGGTTTATTGACACCAGTATGCAGCCTGAACCTAAGGTGGAGGGGCTCACAGCATTAACAACCCAACAGATATTGCTTTTCCATTAGTGACAGCTTTGGATCCAGCACAGATCAAGCAAGTCCAGCTTCTCAACTTGTTTTTCCGATGAGTTCACGCACCACTATCTTGGCTGTTGTCCTTCTAACTACCAGACAGGCAGGAAGGAGAAAGGCCCACCCATTTGCCACATGGCACACAGCATCTTCTTTGGTTATGCTACTCATGGTCCTTAAATGGCCTGCTAAGGCTATTGTCTTAAAATCACCTAGACAGGCTATAGTCAGTCTATAAAAATGAATGTATTGCCAGTAATATTGTTTTTGTTTCAATCAATTCTGGTGATCAACAAGACAAATTGTTTCAATGTATGGCAAAAAGATATTTCTAAATATATCTAGCAAGGGCGGGGGAGAACGAGAATAAAATATTGAAAGATGTAAAAGACAGAGGAGGTTTCTCCCTGCTGGGTATGAGTTTATATTATGAAGCATTTTGCCCTTGACGGTTGAAGGAATGGATGACATTGGAGAATCCACATATCTTAGATTTAGAAGGTCATGGTAATATTTTTGGTTGGCACGCCTATTTGTGGTATGAAAAGGTGAAAGTACATAAAGGATTTACAAATCACATAATTAGGGATTTTTTTATGGAGAATGGGATAAATATAAAAGTTGGTTGGAGACAAAAATACCACTTTGATTCTCACCTTTGGAAGCCATAGCGGTAATGAAAAAGAATATGATAGAAGGTTGGACAACTTATAGAAATTTATTAAAACAAGGGGGAGGAGAGTATAAAGGATTTATCAGGAAAGCTAACAACATGGATACAATATCATCATTTGAATGAAGTATTTAAGAAATATAGGATACAAGAGTTTGGGGAACAAATATCACAATTGGAGAGAGATCTGTTGTAATGTTAAAGTGCTGTCTGAAATCTATAAGATATTATTGGCATGGGAGACAAAGGATGAGCAAGTAAAATCTTCAATGATACACTGGGCAGTAGATATTGGTTATATTGCTTGTGGAATACAGATATAAAATTTACAGCATGCTATAGTTTAAGAGAAAACTACTGTTATATAGATAGTATCAAACACTGACTAAATTGTCAAAAATGTATAAAACAAAATCAAATAAGTTGAAAATACAAAGAGAAAGAAGGTATTTTTTATCATATGTGGTGGTCTTGTAGTAAGATTAAAGCTTACTGAGAAATGATTATAATGAATTGAAAAAGATGTTTAAAATAACATTTGTAAAAAAACACACACACACAAAAGCTTTACTTTTGGGAATTATAGGGGAAGAACTACCTAAACAGTATAGAAATGTATTCATGTATGTGACAACAGCAGCAAGAATGTTATTTGCCCAGAAATGGAAAGAAGGAGAAGTCCCAATGAAAGAATACGGATACAAAACTTGTGGAATACAGAGGTACCTCGATTTTCGAATGTAATCTGTTCCAGAAGTCCGTTCAAGTTCTGAAACGTTCGAAAACTTAAAGTGAAGCCTCAAAGTAGAAGCCTTAATATAGAAAACTCAAAATGGAAGCTGTGTTACCTATTCGACTTCTGAGGCGCATTCGAAAACTGAGGCATTTACTTCCGAGTTTTCGGTATTTGAGTTCCGAAACGTTCGACTACAGAGGCATTCAAAAACCGAGGTACCACTGTATGCAGAAATGGAGAAACTTACCAGAAAAAATAAGAAATCAAGATGACAAACTTTTTATAACAGAATGGAAATGGTTTATTGAATATTTACAAACTAACTGTAAACAGATAAGGACATTGGCAGGATCATTGTGATAACCTACAGTTTCATAAGAGCATATATTTAAAGTAGCTGAATAAAAGAATAAGTTAAGTTAATTTAGAATATGCAGGAAAAGTAAAAAATAAATTTAAGGAACCACAGAAAGAGAAGGAAGTCAGTCAAGTTTTGAAATGTTAGAATGATTGTAAAACTATTGAAATGTATTTAACTGAAAATCATAAATAAATAAATAAATAAATAAATAAATAAATAAATAGTGAAATGAAATGAAATCACCTAGACAGAGGAACTGGTTAGGCGAGCTGATTGTCATACCTTCTACCCCCACAGATACAGAAACCCAAGAATCAGAAGGGACTCAGGGCATTATTCAGGCTGACACACACGAACACCACAAACTCACTTAATAATAATTAATTTCCCCTTCCCTAATGCAATAGCACATCTGTGCAAAAATCAGTTGCTTTTTTAAAAAGTGCACCCTTAACACACAGTTCGTGGATTGACATTTTGATGTACTGATTAAAATAGGGCCTTATGGATTAATCAACTGAACCAGTTAAAGCTTGCAAATGCAGAAAAAGCTTATGTTCACAATTTCATGGTATGATTTCCTTTTACTGCAACAGCAGCATAAATACTTTAAAACTGTGAGTAAATAATCTATTGCAGTGTCAAGCCTTGTAAGTAATGGAGCTGATATCCATTCCATATTTTTTGTGATTTTAAAATGCCAGGGTAGCAAGTCACCTAATTATTATTTCTGATTTACCTATCTCTTGACAGAGCTGTAGCATGCAAATGTGCTCTCTCTAGTTTTGTTTCTTTCTTTCTGTGTAACATTTGGGAAATGTGATGGAATATGCATAATTAAGCCTGACTTCCTATCACAGTTTGTTACCATCAAAGGTTTCCATAAGAGATGCATCCAGTAATAGAGTGAAGTAACTATTTACACTGCCTTACGTTACATGACTATCGATGTTAAAGTCATATGATAATAAGAAACTGTATCATTTCCTCTGTCTAATACCATTTTATGCCCCATACCTCTTCTGGGATACAGAGAGCTCTTTTCTATCACAGTCTATCAGCTCAACACACAGTGATAATAAATATGTGAAAACTATTCATGGTATGTGATGCAGGCAGGTCAGTGGATAACCATTCCAAGTAACTTCTGCAACCAGTGTCCAGCAAACCATCTTGCACAGGTATTCAGCCATTGATGCAGCCAGGTCAACCTAGTAACTCCCAAAGCTGGTTGGTTTAGGATGTGAGTAAGCAACTGACTGTTTACCTGCTTCTTTACATTGTAGGATATCAGTACTCAAACAGCCATGTTGGCAAAGAATGAAGGTGTAAGTGGCAGGTCAGCTGTTTCATCATTCATTCATTCATTTTCCCTCCCATCTGACTGGGTTGCCCCAGCCACTCTGGGCAGCTTCCAACATAACAAAAATGTTGCACACACACTCAGTCTCCAAGTGGATTCTAGGCACTTACCCAGCATTCATGTTTCCTTTGAAGTGAAGTTCAGCAGAGACTGTGGTGTCTTTATGATATATGGTTTATTTATACATATATACAACCTGAGTCTACAACAGAGGGGCCTTGTTTTCCCCATAGCTGTAGCCTTGGATTCAAACTGAAATCAAATATCTCTCTGGCTCTCTCTAGCTTACCTGTCTGCAGGTTTGCTTCATCTAGCTTCTAGTTCACATCACTCAGCTCTCTAGCCTCCGTCCTTCTAACTGCCTGCATGTTGATGGAGGGTTCCCCACCCATCTGCCATCTTGCACAGAGCCCCTTCCTTTGTTCCATCACCCAGGCTGTCACCTCATCAGGAAGCTAGCCTGGCTGTTCTAAGAATTTGAAGGGGGCCCAGGCATTCAGCCTACCTCCCACAAAAGGCTTAATACAGTGGATGCTCGGGTTGCGAACGTGATCCGTGCAGGAGGCACGTTCGCAACCTGCAGCATTTGCAACCCGGGACCCGCGTATCTGCGCACGCACGGGTCGTGATTTGGTCTTATGCGCAAAGCGCGATTTAGCGTTTATGCGCAAGTGCCAAAACTCAGAAGTAACTGTTCCGGTACTTCCGGGTTCAGCGCAGTGCGCAACCCAAAATCACACAGCCCAAAGCATCTGTAACTTGAGGTATGACTGTAACAATAGTAAGGGTTTGAACAACAGACGCATTGCAATACTGTTTTGACTCTTCAGGTTTTTTTCACATTGCCTTTGTGCTTCTTTGTTAATGAATTTTAATTTGTTTTTACAGTGGTACCTCGCAAGACGAATGCCTCGCAAGACAAAAAACTCGCAAGACGAAAGGGTTTTTTGTTTTTTGAGCTGATTTGCAAGACGATTTTCCCTATGGGCTTGCTTCGCAAGACGGAAACGTCTTGCAAGTTTGTTTCCTTTTTCTTAACACCGTTAATACAGTTGTGACTTGACTTCGAGGAGCAACTCATAGAACGCGGTGTGGTAGCCTTTTTTGAGGTTTTTAAAGACTTTGGTGATTTTTGAAGCTTTTCCAAAACTTTCCCGACACCGTGCTTCGCAAGACGAAAAAAATCACAAGACGACAAAACTCGCGGGACGAATTAATTTCGTCTTGCGAGGCACCACTGTATTTCTTGTAAGCTGCACTAAGAGCTTCTGTATAATGTGGCTTTTTAATATAGTATAATAAAATAACTAAATGCATACATACACTTAGGCATTTTTTGGCAGTGGTATGAGAGCAGCAGCTGTATCATTTGATGGTTCAAAATTTTAAAAGATTGGTAATATTAATATGCCCACTTTGCCCTATGAAGAGTGGTTAACACAGAAAGTGCTTAACCCAAATGTTGGAAAGATGGATTTTCAAAAGGGTATTGTTGAAGCTATATTGGACTAGAATCAGATTTTTAAAATAGGCTTCTTTTATCTTTTCAGTTTTGACCTAGTGGCTGTTGGGGGCATCTCAGTCACCTTGGTCTTTGAGAGATCTCCTTTTCTTTCTGTGAAAAGGACACTTTGGTTGTCCTGGAATCGGTTTATTGTGATAGACAAAGTAGTCATGCAAAGAGCAGAAGTGGACCCACCATCCTGTGACATCAGTAACTTTGTGAGCCCCAATCCCATTGTCCTCCCTTTTCCTCTTACATCATTCGGAGGATCATGTCCAGAAAGGGGGACAATTATACCAGAACTACAGGTAAGAGCAAATGCCAATGGTGTAATATCATTGCTTGAAAGACAATAAATAGTTGGTTATCTATTAGGATGGGGACCCCTGTTTGTGTTAAAGTGTGGATAATTTAATTGCCCTTTAGCTAAGTGTTAGATTTGATTTGCTAAAATGAAGAACTGATTATTTTGCTTTTTTGTGTAAGTCAGTGGTTCCCAACCTTTTTAGTTCTGAGAAACTGACCTAAATGGCGGTCACAGAATAACATAACCCTAAATTAAATTAAAATATGTCATTATTATTTCCCTGTTGCTGATGAGTAAGTGTGGATTATGCCAGCCCAGCATAACCCAGTGTTGTTATACCCATTTTCCTGAGGGTGGGCAACCAGAGTAGTGTATGACAACCCTTGAGTGTGTAGTCCAGTCTTGCTATCCTGTGTATTGGATTTTTAGGGAAATGATGAGGGTTAAGGAGAGAAGCTTGTGGAGCTGATTATTGCAGCAGTGCAATTAATTAAGGAGTGAAGGGAGCTACGGAAAGAATTGATGGTTTCATTTGTGAATGGAAGGATAGGAACTGCAGATCCACACATTGGGAAACAACAGAAAGATAGACCATGATTTCAAGTTTCTTAGAGTTTTCTCTGATGTGATTTTCTGTGACATTAACACACCCAACTGTTTTTCAGGTGGTCCAGGAGGAAATCCCCATCCCTTCCAGCTTTACAAAGCTCAGCTACCTGAGCAGCCGAACTTCAGGATACAAAACCTTGCTACGCATTGTGATGACACATTCTACCATCCCTCCCGGAATGACAAAAGTGCATCTTACTGTTACAATTGAAGGGCGGCTGGCTCAGAAATGGTTCCCTGCTGTCACCAACTTGGTCTATACCTTTGCTTGGAATAAGACAGATATCTACGGCCAAAAAGTCTCTGGCTTGGCAGAAGCAATGGGTATGCCTTTTAACAACAACAACAACAACAATTAATTAACTATTGATTTATTGCATGGGCATCAGTCATTTTATTTATTATGTATGAATTCCAAGAAGCCTTTTAAATGATCATCTTTCCCTGGCTGCATCCGCAACGGAAATGTTCTTTAAGTTTTTATGTTTTAGATATTATTATTATTATTATTATTATTAACCTTAAAATGCATTCCTCTAAGGAGCTCAAGGCAGTGTATATGGTTCTTTTGCCCATCCATTTTATCCTCACAACAATCCTGTGTGGTAGGGTTAGGCTGAGAGATATTGACTGGCTCATAGACATCCAATGTGCTTCAAGTCTCAGCAGTAGTCATTTAAAAATGTTGCTACTTAATCCAAATCAAATGGTGTGTGTCTGTTTTCCTGTTCCTGTGAGCAGATGCACAATTAAAGATGGATATTTCCTGGTCAGTGTCAGTAACACACCTTCTAAAAGCAAATTCAGGTGGTTTGTGAGTGCCTTGAATATTGGAGCCAAAATACCGCCACTGAAAATGAGAGAGGGAGGTCTTGGCATTATTGCGGGAACCCTGAAATTTGCAGAAGTACAAACATAGTAGTTGAAAATAACTAACAAGGCAAGCTGACCCCTCCAAACAACCTTGTAAGGACTGAATATGTTCAAGTGCCAGGCCATGTGGAACGTCAAGGGAATGGCTGCAACTCATTCATAGTGCATCTGCTTTGCATCTCGCAGGTACAATCCTTGGCATCTCCACATAGGCCTGGGACTATCCCCTCTCTGATGCTACATGGAACAAAACATATGTTCCCAATGTCATTCTGAAAATAAAATGAAAAGTTCAGTGGGTGGGCGGAGCAAAATGCAGGTTACACAATCCTCAGGGAGAATATGGTTGTCTGCCAGGAACCATGGACAGGGGACCTCTGGTCTGCAAGCCTTAATTATGACTGTCATAATTAGATTGTTCCATCCAAACTACACCCACCTGCCTTACACATATGATGTCTGGTGATAGGAGGGAAAGGTGGGGCTTGGGTGAAAGGGCTTTGCAGGCACCACTGATCAGCGCTGCCCGCAAGACCCTTGCATAAGGCTTCTCAAGAGTAGATAATCAACGGATGAAAAGTAGTTGGGAAGTGCTAAGGACAGAACTTTGTGAGCACTGACGATCAGTTGGTCGTTGGTGCTTCACAGCTTGCATGATTTGATGTCAAACCAGCAAGTCACCTGTTCTCAATTGTGACATTAGGAAATTGACTGGTAGGCACTGGTAGTCTCAAATTGAGACTGCAAGGTGGGAGGTGGAATCAGAGAATTGTAGGGTTGGAAGGAACTTTCACTGCCACATCCATTCCCTGACACTTGTGCTAGATACACCTCAACATTTTGTTGCAGGTCTCACTTGTTTTCTCTAATAGCAAACTCAAGAGCTTTAAGCACCTAGCCATCGGGAAAGAAAACAGAGCCACCAAAAACAAGCAGTGGTTTCTGCATCCTTGAGGACCTCCTAATTTATGCATAGATTTATAGGGTTGTAATTTTGTTTTAAAGGTTTTTAAAATGGCCTGGCAAAGATCTTTGAGCTTCCAGCCTTACAAAATGCTAACAGTAGTTGAGCTTAGAGAAAATAGGGTCTAATGGGATGGGATGATGTCATGAAAGCCTGTTAGAACTGGCTACATGGTGCCCATCAGTGAGCACAAAGGAAGCACAAATTACTCTCATTCTTAAGCATTGACACAGTTGTAATTTTGCCAAAATGTGCACTGGTGTGCGCATTACATGATTCCCATTGAGAATGATATAATGTGCATAGAAAAGATATCTATTTGGATGCACATTATGAATCACATCCTGGCCAACGCTTCCTGTTTTCCTGCACTGCAGGTATGTCTGTTTGTGCCCTTTGGGAAACCTTTGGAAAGGGGGGGGGGAGCTTGGTTCCGTTTGTTTTCTGGTTTATGAGGAAAAATCTCTGGCTGCCTAAACATAAAGGGAAGACAGGACACCAGGGAACATGGAAGCCCTGTACTTCACTATTCTATCTTAATTCCTGCCAAGAGGAGTCGTTCCTCATCCTGTCCTGGCTTGAGTGACCATCCCCTCTTGCTTTAGAGCAGGGATGTGGAACCTCATGCCCTCCTCGCCTTTGGCCCTTCTTGCCTTTCGTTCTGGCCCTTGGAATTCTTCCCAAACTGCACACCCTGCTGACCCTGTTTCACATGCTGTGTGGTTTTGTCTGGCTGGGATGTGTTCTCGAGGTCTGACAAGGCCTCTTGCTTGACTGAACAGAGGATAGAGAGGGGTGTGTTGAACAGGCAAGTGGAAAGCAACCTATTGTACAATGGCAAAGTTTGCATTCCTTGTACAATACTAGGGCCTGGATGGAGACTAGAGAGGAGCAAGAATGAGTAAACATTACATCAGTTGCCCCACAATTTTTGTCTCTGGCTCTAACCACCACTGTCATGTGGCCCTCAGAAAGTTGCCCAGAAGGGAATGTCAAGAAATTAAGCCTTTAGTGCCAAGGGCCTAGTCCTGTGGAGATTCAGCAGGCACCTTCTGTGCCAATTTATAAATGCCGCCTGAAAACTTTTCTGTTCTGCCAGGCAATAAAGAGTACACCCCACATAGTAGTAGTTTACTGATGTTTGTTTTTAATTTCTTTTTACTTTCAACTTGTTTTAAATAAAATTTAAACAATTTTATTGTTTGATTTTATGTTTTTTATATTGTTGTAAACCATTGTGATATATCTTTATGGTACAGTGGTATATAGTACATATTTTTATAAATAAATAAAATGTGGCCTGGCCCTTGGACTGAAAAATATTTTCCACCGTATGACATATTTAGAGTTCTTATCCTGCTAAGGTTCAATATGGTACCATCATTTATTTTGGAAAGTAGATTTGAGCATCTTCCATTTGATGTCGTGTGTGTGTGGCATGGTAAAATTTGTGTACATTTTCTTACCTTTTCTTTAAAGTACCTCATTCATATATTTGTCAGGTGTCTTTGTTTCCCAAAAGTATCATGAGTCTGCAAGGTATTGTTTTTGTTTGTTATTATGGTACAGATTTTTGTGTTTCAATGTTGCAAACTGCCCTGTGATCTTTGGATGAAGGACAGTATAAAAATTTGAGAAATAATAACAATAACAATCCCTGCTTCATGACAAAAAGTCAGGTTCTATAGGATATCCATCATATGCCCATCTGCCTTTCACAGCACTTCTGAAAAAGTCCAGGGTATTATCTTCCCTACCCCCATAATTGACACCTCATCATACTTAATCGTTCTCTTTTTTATTATTCAAAGAAAGATTCATCATTAAGTTCCAGTGAAACTGATGAGTTGTGTGCAATAATTATACCAATATAATAGCAAATGGCATTGGAGCAGATTGAAATAGCAAATTTCATACAACACCCCCCCCCCGCTACTCAAGTGCAATGGAGAAACATTGACATCTTTTTTGTGTGCCTTCCAGCAAGATATATTCTTTCAAAGTGATGGATTAGAGAGAGCAAGGTGAGAGGGCAGAGGGGATAGTGGCTCCCTGAAATAAATGAAACAAGAGGTCTGCTTGCCCCAGGTATGATGGAGTGAGCCTGTGCATCCATTCCTATGCCCAACAGACAGCAGTTGTGACAGTGCTGCCCGTGGAAGCAGCATTTTTGCAGCACTGATGAATCACTGGAGGGACAGCAGGGTGAGCATCTGGGCTCAGACCAGGCATACCCTCCTGCCATCTCTCAGAGCAGTGTCACAAGAACATTGTCCCTAGGAAAGAGCACTCTGCTGTGACAATTTCAGAGCTGATAGGAATCAATGGGGGGGGGAGCCAAGCTCAGTGGCATACAGCACCTGTTTGGCATGCAAAAAGGCCCAGATTTTATCATTGGCATATCTAGTTAAAAAGATTTCTGTTTTTCATTTTGTTTTCTTCCAGATTTCTGTTTAAGACCCTGGAAAGCCACTGCTTTCATTGATTATTGCAATGTACACTATGTGGTGCTGCCCTTGAAGACGACCCAGAAACCTTAATTGGTCCAAAATGCAGCAGCTACCAGATTTCTGGCTGGAGTTTCTTTTAGATCTCGTATAACCCCTGTTTTAAAACAGCTGCAACACTTGCCAGTTCTTTCCCAAGCCTGCTGTCTCAAGTGGTGTCTGTGATCTAATTATTGATAAAGTACAGGTGAAATAAGAAATACCTGTTTTAAAAGCAAGTATATCTAAAATAATTTTAGTGGCATAGGTATAACCCGGTATCTACAGGGGAGACAATCTTTCATTAAAAAGAAATGAAATGAGCCTTGCTGCAGCATCAGACAAAATACTTGTCTGGTCCAGTGTCCTCTTCCCCACAGTGTCCAGATGCTTATGGGAAACCCACAAAAAGGGCATGGGGGCAATAGCCCTTTCCTCCAGTTGCTCCCCAGCAACCATTTTCAGAGGCAAGCCTCAGAGTCGGCTATTAGCATAATTTCTAACATTTAATATCGCCCAAAAGGCATTATGCAGAAATGCAATATTCAAGTACCTGAAAACTTCCCATACAGACTCTCTCAGGTGCTAAGATCAGTGGAGGGGGATCTCTTGATTGCTCCATCATCCTCAGAAGCTTGCGGGGGCTGGTCTGGGAGAGGGAACTTTCTCTCTGGCGGCTCCTAAATTGTGGCACTCACCAAAGGTGTGTTTGGCACCTTATATCACCTTTGGTGAATGCTGACGATGCACCTTTTTACCTTGGCTTTTGACACTTGGGTTGTATATTTTTCAAACCCACCTTAATTTTGGTGATTGTTTTACGCTGTTTTTGATATTTTGTTTTAGAGTTGTAATCCACCCTGAGACCTTAGGGCAAAGAGCAGGTTAATAATAGGAAGAAGAAGAAGAAGAAGAAGAAGAAGAAGAAGAAGAAGAAGAAGAAGAAGAAGAAGAGGAAGAAGAAGAAGAAGAAGAAGAAGAAGAAGAAGAAGAAGAAGAAGAAGAAGAAGACTGACCCATTAAGGCATTTTCTCATCTTTCATAAATCTAGTTGATTTCAGCATTTTTATTCCTTCCTAGATATGCAATATAATTTTTCTTTCCTTTTTCACCATCTCACGAGTTATAGCTTTCACGTACATGCCCCTGAAAGAAGCAGAGTGCTTATTTGCAACCTGAGTGGTTCCCTCCAGGAGCAGAGAGCAATTATGTCCTTTAGTTTTCAGGAATGTGCTCTTCCTTGCACATGTGCTCCTGAATCTCTGCAGGTGCCACATTAACAGCAGATACGCAGTGGTAGTCTTGGGATCTGCGATTATTTCGGCTCCAGCAGCAGCAATTTACTCTGCATTTCTTCATGATAATGGCATAGGAAAGAATTCTGGCAAGCCGAAAGCGACTTTCTGTTACTAAGACAAGTTTTGTGGTTTCTGTTGCTCCTATTCACTGATGAGGTTTTCAGAAGAGTTGCCTGCTCCCCCCCCCCCGTAAGGTGGAGTGGATTTTCCCATTGCTTCCTAAGGATGTTATAAATACTGATGCCATTGTATTAGCTGCTAACTACCGCAGCCTCGATTTTCCTGGTCATTAAGAAATAGTCACACACAAGATATGCTTATTAAGCTTTTTTAAGCGCAGTGTATGTAAAACAAACTGCTTGTGCTGTTTATATTGGGGGTGTTATTGGGTTGTAGGGGGGTGTTATTGGGTTGCTGTTTTTATTTTGCGGTTTTATATTTTGATTTTATTCTGTCAACCGCCCTGAGACCTCCAAGTATAGGGTGGTATATTATTATTATTATTATTATTATTATTATTATTATTATTATTAATAATAATATATGCATAATATATGCTTTCCCCCACTGCACCTTTGCTGTTGATACATATTTGCTGATGTACTTCTAGAAAACCTGGATATAATTTATAGCAGTGGTCTTTAGAATTCTGCTGTTTGTCTTCAGAAAAATCTACACAGTGGTACCTCGGTTTTCGAGCATCTCAGAAGCCGAACGTTTTGGTTTTCGAACGCCAAAAACCCAGAAGTAAATGCTTCCATTTTTGAATGCACCTCAGAAGTCAAATGGCTTCCATTGCATATTTTTCCATTTTCTCCATTGAACTTGCAGCCAGCCCTTTGTGTCTCGGTTGGAAGTTGAACGGTCTTCCGGAACAGATTGCGTTTGAGAACTGAGGTACTACTGTATTTCACTGGTGGGTGGGCATGACCCATGGGGATGGAAGTTCACTATTGGCTGTAGATTTTGAAGGGTGCTTGATCAAGACACACACACCCATCCCAGAGCCCCTTCCCTCTGTCAGTCTACCTCAGGAATGAATTACCTCAGGTCCTTCAGACCTGTCTGTCTGGTCCTTGGGACTGTCTCCAGACCACACACCCCTCAGTGACATCTTCCTGGAAAGTTTTTTGCCTGCCTGGAATATATCCTTGACCTCTGATTAATTCCTCTTGCTTATTTGGATGGAGGAGAGGAGTGAGTGAATATGTGTAGAAACTACCCTATTGTACAATTAACGTTTGTTGCCCCATTAGCTTTTGCCTCTGTCCCCACCCACTGCTGGCATGTGCCCCTGGAAGTGAGTGTGGCCTATAGGCTAGAAAATATTCCCCATCCTCAGTCTGCCTCCATATTCCCATTAGCGCTCAACTGTATGTGCACATTACTGTATATTATGCTCAAGAACCACAGCATAAATGTTACCACAACTGAACCTGAATCACATGCCTGTCGTTTTCTAATTTATGTTGTGCATAAATGTACTTATAGAAAAGTCAACTGATCTAATTTTTTTGTACAGTATATGCATAATATTTGTACATCTGCTCCTCCTCCTCTACCACATCATTGCTACCGCCTACTTATGCCTGCTAGGCAGAGAGCCCATCAGCAAGCAGGCGGTGGTGGCATCAGCTGCTCCTTCTCCTCCTCACCACCACCATGGCATGAGCCAGAGTGAGAGGTGGATGAACAAGCAGAGTGCAATATGAAGAGGAGCAGGGTCAAGGGGACCTTCTTAGCAGGTGCATTGCAGTTGCCCACCCATGGCGACCTTTGATTAAGATTTTGGGATTGCTTTGAGGGAGGGATAGGAGAGAGTTGCTCCATTGTGGAGAACAGAAGTTGGTGGCTGTTGCCCAGAGCAGACAATGAGCGGACAATCCATTCTAGTTTTGTTTTGCTCAGTTCTACAAGGGCTGCAATGAGACACAGGCCACCATCACACAAATTCTTAGGCTACCCTCTGCAAGTGGAATAGGGACTTTCCTAATAACAGTCAGCAACCTTAACGAACTACAACTCCCAGAATGCTTTGGAGGAAGCCATCGATGTCTAAGGTGCTATCATAGCACTTTAAATGGATAGTGTGAATGTGACCTAAGGAAAAGGAAGCTGACAGGTGTAATAGGACTGCCTGGTTCATGGCTGTTGCTTTTAGTTCACTGTCAACAGCAGTATAAACCTGTGCTTGAACTTTGTCTCAGTGTCAGTCTCTTATCCTCCATTCCTGCTGCATCCAGGCATTCTGAAACAGAAGGAAGGGTGACCATTGCTTATATTTTTGAAGATTGGAGGTGCCAAAAGGCCTCTAGTTGTCACAATTTCATTAATTAGTAAATCTAGTCCAGGTAATCATGTACCATGTCATCAAGACCCTCCTAAGGTCCTGTTTTTTACAAATAGCAGATGAGATGGAACTCTCCAGTATCTGGACTGCACTGCTTTCAACTGTAGGCCAGGGGGGCATGTTTATGTATGTATGTATGTATTTTTATTTTTTTTAAGTTCCAAAATGCTTCGGAGAAAAAGAATCTCCACACAGTATAGAGATTCAGTTATATATCAAAAATTATATTGACAAAAATACAAAAAGCAATTGAATACATAAATACATAAAACCATAATCAAAAGCAAAAGCAAAGATAAAACCAATAGCTCATTTAAAACAATAATGTGTCTGAATGGGGCTGCTGAAACAGAAAAGTTTAAGTAGGCAGATAAAACAATATAGTGAAGGTGCCAGCGTAATGTCAATAGGCAAGGAGTTCCAGAGCACAGGTAATGCCACAGTAAAGGAATGACTTGCAAAGGCAGGATGAACATTGTGTGGCACTTGTAAAAGTACATGTTCCACAGATCAGAGTGACTGAATGTTCATGTATGGGATGGGGCAATCCCTTCAGTAATATGGTTCCAAGCCAGCCAAGGCGTTGTATAACTGAATTCTCTACATAAAAAATAAATAAACCCTTGCACATAGAAAAGTAGATGGCAGGAAAAGGCCCTGTTCAGCTAGTAATCCAAATGCAAGACTGGTTGTTGGTGACACGGGAACATCCTGCTTTCTGAAGTGCAGCAGTCGCCACCAGCAGGCTTGGTCCAGATTTGGGGGTGGGGACAGGGGTGGTTGGCAAAATGCGTTTTGATGGAATCCCTGCTGAATGAGTGGGACTCCTTTGTCTTGCCTTGTGGTAGCATCAGGTGGCAGTAGTCCCAGTTAGCTCCAGGGGACTGCCTTGGAAGCTGCCATTTCACCATTCAGCTTCCAACATAGCCTCGCTCTGTGACATTATGGGAAATTAAAATAGCAGCTCCAAGACAATGGGAATGATGGGAATTGTAGGCCAACAACATCTGGAGGGCCACAGGTGCCCCATCCCTTAAACAGCGCAGGATTAACTACTGGTGATTTAATCTAACAATTACCATGGGAAATGGGAAGAAAACCAGTCTATAATGTATTGTTCTTTATCTCTTTTCAGTGTCAGTGGGTTATGAGTATGAAACTTGTCCAAATTTGATTCTGTGGGAGAAAAGGACTGTAACGCTGCAAGGATTTGAGTTGGATGCTTCAAATCTTGGAGGCTGGTCCTTGGACAAACACCACATTTTGAATACACAAAGTGGTAAGTCAGTTGGCTATGAATTAAGCAGCATGGAATGGTTATTCCACCTCCCCTCCCTGCAAAATAGAAAATTACTAATGGTAATAACATTCCTAACTTCAGAGGGTATTATGTCTGGTCAGAAAAGTCTGCTGAATCCTTCTTTGGTTTTCCAGCTCACCAGCAGAATCATAGATGTATAGAGTTGGAAGGGAACCAACTTTTCCAACTCTTTGCATAATAGATGCTATTTAGTTCAGGCATTGACTACTGCATCACTGATAGATGGCCATCCAGACTCTGATTAAATACCTCCAGCAAAGGAGAGCACACCACTTCCTCCTGATATAGAGGGTTGCACTGTTGGACTGTTCTTAACATTCTTGTGTTCTTCTGGATACAGTTAAGGCTCTCACCATCCTTCTAATATGCAGTACAACTAGGTAACATGTGGAATACCAACAGAGTAGCCCTATTTATCTGAATGTCTCATTGCTGGAAGTGACTAGAAGTTTGCTGAGCCAGAATGGAATGTTTCTGTAAGCAACTATTCCAAGGTCACAGCAGATGAAGTAAGGAAGACCTTTATGGGATAATAGAATATGTGCATCTACTATGGTCATAAATTGTTCCAAATAAAGCATCACTTTAATTGCAGGGGTAATTAAGGAGGGGATTTTCCCTATTTTCTTGCAACATCACCCATCCCTACCTGCCTCTACTGATTTTATAGACTACGGGGGAGCCATGCTTGAGATTCAGAATTGTCAGGAGATAAAGCTAGTAGATTTTATTAAGGGACTTGTCCTCACCTTCCTCCAATAATCTGAGCACTAGTAGGATGAAGCAAAGCGTGTACTCTCAAACTTAATTAGCTGAAAGGTCAAAAAATAATGTACCACTTGATCTCAGCTAAATTCTCAAGAGCAGGTTCTCATCAGTTTGAGCCACTGAATATGAACACACACACACACACACACACACACACACACACATATATATATATATATGGTGAGTGTTCAACCTTTTAAAAAAAAAATCAAATCTGCAGTTCAGGCCACAATGTGACGTGTGGGGAATTGAAAGGCATGCAGATTTGAGTGACTTTTCATTCATGAACTTCTTCAAAAGTTTGAAGCTATTAATTATACTAGAGAATTTGTTCTGCTGGGATGCATTTGCTAGGGCAAGATGGTAAGAAATGTCATTCTGCACTGCAATGATGATAATAATAGCATCAGAAATACTATAACAGGGACACAAGCCTTTCCCTCCACCCCTATTCAAACACAGTTCTCTCAGCTTCTTAGCTGCATCTTCCTGGCAGTTATGATCCCAAAAATCCTTTCCCAACATTCCCTATGATGATTATCATTCATTTATTAATGCATCCCTGTCCACACACATGCAAACCACTTTTAACTAAAATCAAATTTAAATTCTGCTGATTCTCATGTGCAAGCGTTGGGTGGGTTCAGCTAGGTTTATTGAATTTATGTATCTTTTCCTGCTAAAAAAAAGTTTCCAAGTAATATACAGCCAAATAAAAAATGCAGCTACATAAACATGTTAAAAACAGACTTAACAGTGCAATCATATTACTGATTCTGCCCAATTCTGGGGAAAGCAAAAACATTTTTGCCCAGTGCAAAAACGATGACAGAGTTGGTGCCAGGCAGGCCTCCTTGGGAAGAACAATCCACATGCAGGAGGCTGCTACAGGGAAGACCTGTTCTCTCATCACCATCCTCTGGACATGTCTTGAAGCTTGCACTCAAAGAAGGACCCTGAATGAGAAGCCCAGGGTTTTAGCACCAGGGTCTGACCCACAAAAGGTTTTTTAAAAGTCAAAACCAGCACTTTGAATCATGCCGAGAAACAAATCAGGCCAGAATCAGTGGTCTATACTCACTCCTCCGAGTGAATTAACAATCTATCAGCTGCATTCTATACTAGCTGTAGTTTCTGAATCATCTTCAAACTCAGCCCAACGTAAATTACATTGTAGTAGTTGGACCTGGAGGTTACCTAAACATGCACAACTGAAGCCAGGCTATCCCTATCCTGTTGAGCTACCAGCCAAAGCTGGTATAAGGCACTCTATGCCACTTAAAATACTTACATATAGTGGATGGAAAGGGAAACGAAGTAGGTTAAACAGACCCTGAGCTGAATTGAGTAGCCTGTGAAACACCTCAGACAGAGGCAGACTGCTTTCCAAAGCACAGATTTGAGATCTGAAGTGAATCTTGTGGTTGGTGTGCATCTATAATAGCTGTTGTTATCTGCTTATTACAAGAAGCATTTGTATATATTTTTTAATTAAAAAATCCATCTAGGTCAGAATACAAATTCTACAAGACAAGTGAATTAGTAAGTTGGTTGTGTATTTATATTCACGACTTTGGGGCGGGGGGGGGGGGGGACTCAAGGCAGCTTGCAGACCGGAGGTAGGAAATCAAGGTTAGATCACAATTTATTGGCCAAATGCAAGGACAAAAATAGTTTTGCAAAGTCATCAGATAATAGTTGAAGAAACCTTTTAAAGAACTGTGAGTAGCTAGTGAATCAGAAAATCTTACCATTCCAATAATCACATAGCTAACTTTTCTGTTAAGTGTTCTGACCAGGCTAGCATATCTGTCAATATATTACAGGAAGGCTCCTCGCACCCCTATTGTTGGAGCAAGTTTGTAAAAGCTTAAATTTGGGGTGAGAAGTAAAATGAATACCCTCACGCAACAATGTGAATTTTCTGAGATGTTCTGTGTGCCCAACTCAGGCTAAGTCTCAGATCAAAAAGCAGCTTTTCAGCTAAGAAATTCAACGTGATCTGGCTGCAGAGGTTCAAAATTCTCCCTTTTGGTGGGCATGATAAAAGAATTAATACCATTTTAAGGATAATCTAGTGGATCTAAGGGTTTTCTGTGCAAAGCATTGTCCAGGCAGGGCTTTAATACCAAACTACCCAAGACAGAGAAGATCAGATCTCCCAAAACATCTATTTTTAGCAGAAAGCCGCTGGGTGGGGGGGCACCAATATTTGATTGAAGCAGCAGTGCTGGGAGACAAGATGTTTAAACCTTTTCCCCAGCACTGTTTTCAGAATGTAAATCTCCTATTATCCCCGCTGGGGAGAAAAATACATGTTACTTTTATTGTCCCTGTATTTGGTTCCCTAGCAGGGCTAATATCAGCTTCAGGGTTGGGGGAGTGGGATTTTGATTGGGGGAACTAAATAGGGAGGGAGAGGTTCAAGGTTAAACACCACCCTTCCCTAGTCCTGCTGTTATGACTAAAATCAGCTGCTTAATCCCCTTCCATTGTAAAATACAAAAATGCAGCTTCTGTGATACATTTGTCTTGTCTCATAGATCACATTCTGGGTTGCTGTCCTGGTCAATTAAGGTCCCTGGTTTATACGTAATGACCGCTCCCCGCTTAAAACGGGGGGCGCCCTTTGCATGGACGCGCGCAGCCCTAGATCTGGAGCAGCCCCATCAGCATAGGCTTGGCTTTGCCTTCCCTCAGGTGGGATACCTGGAGGTCTCCGCCTACCTCAGTCAGTTGTCCAATCCCACCTGGGGGAAGCGTTGCCAAGGAGACCAGGCCAGGTAGGGGAGGGATTACCTGCCCACACAATAGAGGGAGGATCTTACCTGAGAATCCTCACTTGGCCCCAGAGCTTCTCCCACCCTACCCACCCTCAGTTAATGTCTTCTTTTGCAGGTTAACTTTTCTTCATAGGTTTTGCAGGTTAACTTTTCTTCACAGGTATGCGGGCGCTGCTACGTTAAGGTCGCTGTTAAAGGGCTGAAAAGGAATTTCCCTGCATTGGCAGGTTTCGCCTTTCCCGTAGCAAAACGTCACAACTTTGGCGGTATCAGGCCTTGGGCGGAATCCTTTAGTCCATCTTCCTCTTTGCGGCGGCGATACCAGGGTTCCCCATTAAAGGGGTTTCTGAAGGGAGGCTTTGACCGTACACCAAAAGGTCGTCATTGCTCTCCCCTGCGGCATCGTAATGGGGGCGGCTATCTCTGCTTGAACATATGTTCTCCAGAGCCGGCCCATCCCCCACACACACACACTGGATAACCCTGAAGCTCCCTAGGTCCCCGGCTGGGGGCTGGGGAGGGAGAACGCCCAATGCCTGAGCCAAGGTCTACCCACATTTGAAATTTAATAAAGTTGTGGCCAATTTAATCCCATAGCACGTTGTCTTGAGTCGTTACTCCACATGACAGGGGGGGGGACCGCTCGGGATCTGGGGACTCCGCCTGTCCATGCAATGGGGGATCCTGATAATACTAGCCAGGGTCTCAACAGTGAAGTCAGCATGTGGCAGGAGTAGGGAGAGGAGGAACTAGAGGAGGAGCACGCATTCACGTCAGTGGAGGTTGGTCCATTATTATGAAAGAAGCACTGCTGCACCTACCTCAGTCTGCTTTCTAGGGACAACACATCCTATTTCACCACTTGAGGTGAAACAGGAAGTGCCACCCTGCCCAGACTCAGGCTTCAGCTACTGTTGGGCTTCTTGCCTTCTACCCTACCAGTCTAAGTGAGCACTAGCTACCCTGGATTCACAGCTTCAGAAAGAAGTTTGTAATGATTGCCTGAATGGACTATTATCTCCAAGGCAGACACCAGACATTTTGCTGCCTGAAACGGATCAGCAGGTGGCTCCCCTTCCCGTGCAGTCGAGCAAAATAATAACCATGGCCTGCAAAACTTATTTTGGCACCTGAGGCAGAAAATTTCACAAGCACCTCAACCCCTTTCCTGTCAGTAAAACTGCAACAATAGTAAATTAAATAAATAACACTTTGTTGCCATATCGTGGCACCCACACTCAACTGCCTGAGACAAACACCTTGCCCTTCCCAGTGATAGGGCCGGCCCCAGTTTTATTCATGGAAAGAGTTTAGGAGCTGAGTCCTTTAGAAATGGGAGGTCTCAGTGATTTTTCTATTAAAAAAAAAGTTTAAGGATACTCTCATTTTGACTCAAGAAAATCACCATTTTATAGTTCGAATTGGGGAAAATAAATACAGTAAATGGACAAAAGTACAAAGATTCACAAAATGTTTAGGGGTATGCATACCCCTGCGTCCCTCCAGAAAAAAGCACTGGAAAGCCTACTTTTTGAGCTGGTATTCAGATTTCACAGATAAGGTGGCAAGGGCTGGGAATTTTTCAAGTATAATTTTTAATATAATGAGATTTTGTTGCATTTTCTGATGGTGTTGGATCACATGCGCACCCGCCCACCTCTTCATTACCTGCCTGAGACCTTTGAGATGGGTTAGGCTATGAATCTTAATGGAACAAGTACAATCCTTTCTAATTTGTCATTTTTTGAATTTACAGATACAGTAAAACTCTGGCTTCATCCTAGGGAACCTGTTTAGTGAAAGCATTGACTATTATTTGAGCACGTCAAAAATAACTATTTTGATTTGTGCTTTAAAGTACAAAGGTGTTTGGGGAGGTTATTGTACCTTGCTTGTCTTTATGACACACTATTAAACCAAAGCTCCTTTCTCTTATTTTTAGCCATAAACAAAATATTTGCACGTAGACATTATTTCAAGAGAAGCAGGGTCTCTGGGGTCCTAATTATATATTGTTACTTGTGGGAGAAAGATGAAGGATTGCCTTTACATATTTAGCCATAGACAGAGGCCAACTGCTCCTGTCATTTCAGTGGATTTTAACTGCCAAGGGAGAAGGCGTTTGTGTGCATTAAGAATCCTGGCACATTGCCAATTTGCTCTTCCAAATGCACCCAAAAATCCAAAGAGAAATAAAGCAAGCTTGTCCCTTGTTGTTCATAAATATTGCTTCTTTCTTTCTTTCTTTCTTTCTTTCTTTCTTTCTTTCTTTCTTTCTTGAAATCTCTGGATTCAAGTTTAAGAACTACAGCTAGTTATCTTCTAGAGAAATCTGGGGGAGGTTTTTGTGTCTTGTTTTTCATTTATTTTCATATATATTTATAAACTTGATAAAACAGCGTCCAGAATGTGGAATTGAGCATCCTATAGAACTCTGGTGTGCTTTACAAAGAATTTTAGAAGCTTTTCTCACCATTTTCAGTTAAGGCTCTTCATTTATTTGTAGTATCCTCCTTGTTCTCAAATCTCCCACGGATCAGAGCAGTCAATTTATGAGTACTCTCAGAGACCCCAAACCTCATATTTCCTTCAAAGAGGTCCTGGCGAGCCATTGGTTTCTAATATAGGAGGGTTAAGACATCATGGGTTTGCAGGAAAAATTTCCTTCTCCATTTCCTCCTCCCTCAAGGCCTGTTCCTGTAAGGAGTTTACTTTCCTAGCTTGCTTCTGGTTGGTGTTCTTAGAGATGTTAGCCAAAATGAGGGTGTATTATTATTATTATTATTATTATTATTATTATTATTATTATGCCCTTCACCCTAATGTCCTAGGGTGGGTAACAGTATAAAACACAATATTAAAAACTGATTAAAACAAAATCATAAAAAGAAGGTCGGTCCTTAAAAATATACACTTCAAGTGTCAAAAGCCAGAGTACAGAAGTGTGTCTTCAGCATTCTCTGGAAGCTGTGTAATGAAGGTGCAAGACACACCTCTGGGGGCTGCCACTGCCCCCTTCCCCCAAAAAAGCTCTAAGGGACGAGGAAGTACCAAGAGGGTCCCCTCCAACAATCTCAGCACCCAAGAGGTTCTATAGGGAAGGAGGCAGTCTTTTCCATATTCGAACACCCTCTCTTTAACTGCAAAAAAGGTTCCCCAGACCAATAGATAATAAAATGGTCCTTGTCCTCAGAATTTGAAAGAAAAAACACAGGATGAAAAGGGATGGGGGGGGGGAGAAGGAAGAAAGGAAACTTTGGCACTGGCTGTTCGTTACAAAAATCATTTCTTAGTTTTAAAAAATCTGGCAGGGAGAGTGGAAGCAGGCTCCTTAGAGCTGCCGCTTCTCTGGTTGACTGATGAGGCTAGATTGGTCTCTTCCTTGGAATGATGTTATTCTATGAGGGACACATTGCTCATCCTTGAAAAAACAAAATTAATACACTCCTTCTGAAATCCATCACAGTATCTTTTCACATTATTTATCAAGCTCAACATGCACTAAAATAAGCGGGGTTTTTCTTATCCTTTTGATTCAGGGCCACTTGTACCTTCTAGGGACCATTAGAACATTTTTCAGAAGTAGTATCTAAAGGTGAAAATAAACATATATGTGGCCTTACATTGTTTAATTACATCATGGTGCAGTTCTTAAGAATGCATGATGCATGTTGATGTAAAGGTTATAATGAGATGGCGAAATGTGAAGCCCAGCTATTCAAAGTTTAAAGAATTTGGAGCAACAAGATCACTAGGATCTTCCATGATTTTGCATGTGTCTCATTTTAGAAATATTTACCAGTGAAATCTATTTTAACAAAGTTTATAGGTAGGATCATATTAATACACTGCAAATAAAAAGCTTACATTGTGTTCAATGTGAACAGAACTGGACAAAATACTGTGTGCAATGGCATGTGCTTATTATGTGCTTGTGTTTTTAAACCAGGTATTGTCCACAAAGGAAATGGAGAGAACATATTCATCTCCCAGCAGCCCCCAGTAATCTCAACTGTCATGGGCAATGGGCACCAGAGGAGTGTTTCCTGTGCCAACTGCAATGGTCCATCTCACAGCAGTAAACTCTTTGCACCTGTCGCCTTGGCCTCTGGTACTGATGGCAGCATATACATTGGAGACTTCAATTTTGTTCGGAGGCTCCTTCCTTCAGGAAACTCTATTAGCATCCTTGAACTAAGGTAGGAAACTTCGGAGTGCTTAAAAAGAATTAATTCATATTGGAAAGCAAAGATATAGAGAATCCCCCCCCCAAATGTGCTACACTAATATCAATCATTGGCAGACAGTCTGATGGGCAGAGGTGCATAGCTGACCTAGCTGGCGAGTTGCTGCCGCTTACGGGGGTAGAATGAGGTTGTGGGGAGGGTGGTGTGGTACAGGTGAAATGGGCTGACTGCTGATGAGTTTGCACCACACTGACCTCTCCACAGCCTCTCCCCCTCCAAGTAAGCGGCAGCAACTCACCAGCTAGGAGGTCAGGTAAGTGCCTCCGACCCACCACACTGTCCACTACTGATAGTAATATGTACAATATTTCCTTCATGGGTGCCACTAAGGAATAGATGGGGTTTGCTTTGCCCCTGTTAGATGTTAGCAGCTCCCGCATTTATGAGACGGTGACATTGCTTAGTGTGCATGCTGTGTATGCAGGTAGCGCTAAGCACTTCCCCTTTCCCTACATGCCCTGAAAGTGCTGAAGCCTTTTTGTTTGAATGTTCAATATTAACACTTCAAAAAGCCTCATGGAGAAATAAAACATAAGTGGATGATAAAATGGAAATAACGTAGGAAGGTATGAGAATGTATTTTGGTGTGTGTGTGTGTGTGTGTGTGTGTGTTCCCTTACAGGGAGTGGTTGGGTTCTAATTTCTCAACAGAGAGGAATTTCAAGGGAAATGGCATGGGTCACCTTAGAAAAGTAGGGTGGGTAGGAGGGACAGATAACGGTAAATGTACATTTTGCAAAGAAATAAAAAGGGACTATATATGGTGGAGTGGGACGTGGGTGGCGCTGTGGGTAAAAGCCTCAGCGCCTAGGGCTTGCCGATCGAAAGGTCGGCGGTTCGAATCCCCACGGCGGGGTGCGCTCCCGCTGCTCGGTCCCAGCGCCTGCCAACCTAGCAGTTCGAAAGCACCCCCGGGTGCAAGTAGATAAATAGGGACCGCTTACTAGCGGGAAGGTAAACGGCGTTCCGTGTGCTGCGCTGGCTCGCCAGATGCAGCTTGTCACGCTGGCCACGTGACCCGGAAGTGTCTCCGGACAGCGCTGGCCCCCGGCCTATAGAGTGAGATGGGCGCACAACCCTAGAGTCTGTCAAGACTGGCCCGTACGGGCAGGGGTACCTTTACCTTTACCTTATATATGGTGGAAGCCCAGAGGTTGTTTTTTTTGGGGGGGGAATTCAGTAATATCAATCACAAATGAAATAAATGATTTGCGACTGTTTAAACAGTGTGAATCATTGATCAATGTGGATAATTCAGAGACGCCAAGAAATCATAGTATTCAAATGCTGCATAATTTAACACTAGTGAGAATCATGCTCTCAAAAACATGGAAAAGTAGCCAGAAGGCAAGGAAGAGAGAATGCATTGCAAGCTTATAGGAACAGATGGCAAATTGTGAAATTGACAATAATGTTTTAAAAATATAGAAATTACAAAGAAAAGAGTGGGAAGCTGGAGACCAGTAATGCAATATATTAAAAGATAACTTGGGAATGAATAAATGGGGATAGACTGTCATGTAATGTTAGCACAGCTTTCTCTTACAATGCAAATGTATCTGTTGGCAGAGTCAGTATACTTCTGAACACCAGGTCTTTAAAACCACAGGAGGGAGAGTGCTGTGGTCCAGCTTGCAGGCTTCCCAAAGGCGTCTCGTTGGCCCCTGTGAAAACAGAATGCTGGGCTAGATGGGCCATTGGCCTGATCCAGCAGGCTCTTCTTATGTTCTTATAGTAATTTTTGTTCCATTCAGGAACTTAATGGATGTGTGTAAAATGACTGCGATAAATAAATCGTATATTTAAATAAAGGAAGGGACGCGGGTGGCGCTGTGGGTTAAACCACAGAGCCTAGGACTTGCCAATCAGAAGGTCGGCAGTTCGAATCCCCGTGACAGGGTGAGCTCCCGTTGCTCGGTCCCTGCTCCTGCCAACCTAGCAGTTCAAAAGCACGTCAAAGTGCAAGTAGATAAATAGGTACCACTCCGGCGGGAAGGTAAACGGCGTTTCCGTGCACTGCTCTGGTTCTCCAGAAGCGGCTTAGTCATGCTGGCCACATGACCCAGAAGCTGTACGCCGGCTCCCTCGGCCAATAAAGCGAGATGAGCGTTGCAACCCCAGAGTCGGCCACAACTGGACCTAATGGTCAGGGGTCCCTTTACCTTTACATTTAAAGAAAAGAAAAAGGCACATGGAATGCCCATAGTCCATTCCTTCCACATTTTACATTTCTGAATAGCTCTAAAAAGGCTATTGCAACCCAACCTTAGATGCCACAAATTCAAGCCGTCAGTTCTTTCTCAGTTCAAACTTCAAAACTCCTTTTCCACCCACCGCAGACCCTACCTTGTAGGTAAAATGCCCGTTCAGGAGGGGGGGGAAACTTTGAATCATTAGCTCCCACTCAGGAAACATAACCCTATAATCCCTGACTATTAGAGAGCAATCAGTTTAGCAAAGTATAGTTGCCCAACTGCTGTAATCATGCATTCTAATTTATCTGCCGAGAAAACATAATAGGATAGTTCAAGAAAGCGTGTTGAGAATTGGACCCAAGTCCCTGAATTAGCAATCATCATAATCATCCATCAAAAACTATACTAAAGGCTGTCCCAGACTATATTTCAATTTGCAAGCAGCTGCTGGTATTTGCACCTGTGTTAGAATTGTAATGTTACCATGTTGCATCAGATATGGGCTTGTCCGCACTTTGCTTTTCCTGCACCTAGAAGCAGAGCAAACATCAGTCCATGGAAAACTCAATTCATGTTCATTCTGGTTCAGTGGTAAGGATCAGGTTTTCCTGGAGGAAAGCAATGGGGAAGCAGAAGTGTGGACATGCCCTAAGTTTTAAAATAATTCCCAGAAGCTACTAACATGAGCTTGACCAAACTGCGGGAGGCAGTGGAAGACAGGAGTGCCTGGCGTGCTCTGGTCCATGGGGTCATGAAGAGTCGGACATGACTAAATGACTAAACAACAACAACCTTCCTTAGGGCCACATGCCTGTGATGGGCAGGGACCAGAAGCAAAACTGGGTGGAACAACAAATGTAAATTTTACCTTTTGTATAGTAGTCTGGTTTTAAAACAAACATTCACAAGCCCTTCTCTGCTATCCAGAATAAGGCATTATTCGAATTCCAGGACATGCTGCAGCCAGATGAAAACACTCAGGCTTTGACGCAGGACTAGTGAGGAAAGAGGATGTGATCTGGAGCCAGTTTTGAGGAGCAGAGGACCACATTTGGCCCCTCAGCCCTGAGACCCACCCCCACCCCGAATCTACACCCTCATAAAACAGCATCCTTTACTTCCTCCCCTCCATCTCCCACTGCCCAAACACATATTGTCTCATCATGTCATGTATGTCATATGGCTTCTATGGTCTGTGTGGTAGTTAGCATACAACTTGATCTAAATAAACATTAATCAGCACCTTTTGCTACTTACTAACTATTTGTTTACTTTTCTAATCCACACTAATAATTTCTGTTTTATTTTCTTTTTTGTGTGGTACCCGCACGAATATGCCGTTGAAGGAACAGAGACACAAGACACAGGTAAGAAAACTGGGGAGGAGCGATAGGGTCTTTGATAGGAATTTGGTTTCTAGATCCTGAATTAACACATAGCTCTTTGTATATGGTTAGCTTTGTACAGAATATTTATAGAAACGTTACAAGTTTAGTATCCGGGCATTCCCCTTCATAATGGTTCCAGTTCAGGGGTTTATCTGGCCAAAAGATGGGATATAAATAAATGCATGAAAAATACAGCTTTTAATGGGGCACCCCTGATACACAAGACTACCCGGACACTTTCTCCACATGAGTGATCTACACTATAATAATGCCTTAATCTTACAGCAGAAGTGGAGAAGCCTTTTCAGGCTGACAGCCACATTTTCTTGGGGGTAGACTTGTGGAAACCACATGCCAGTAGTGGTCAGAGCTGGACGCAAGAAGTAGGCAGGGCAATGGATATGATTATCACACAACAGCCAGTTTTCTATACACACCCACACATTGCTCTATCCCGACAAGCAAGAGGCATTACTCCAATTCAAGAACACATTCCAGCCAGGCATTTGCACTCAATAAGGTGTTGGGCTTGGCCGATGAGAGATGTGGCCTGGGGTAAGGCCATAGCATGCGGGGTCCTGAGGAAGGACACTGCCTGTTAATAATAGCTAAATGTGCATTATGTGTTATCTACATGGACAATAGCTGGACAAATGATCCTTGTGTTGAATTTTTGACATGGTCCTGAGGTCTTCTTTTCTTAAGTGATCCAGACATCAGGAGTACTTGAGGCAACTTTATCAAAGAAAGGGGGAGGTGTTTATATTCCTGTATACATTTTATGCAGCACATGGTAGAAAATAGAGGAACATGCATGTATAGGCTACTAGCAGAAGCACTGCCTTGGACCAAAGATTGGGTGGGACCAGTGGTGCAACGCTGGTTGCGGGAGGCAGCCTGGCCCAGCTCTGTGGGGCATCAAAGGCAGGCTTCTCCTGAGCATGAGAAAGGAAGCTCTTCTCAAGGAAGCTCAACATTCCAGTGTTTGGAAACTGGCCAGACACTTTTTATTTCAGAAGGCAATTGGGCAGGAATGGCATTTTCAATTGTTGTACCAGTTTGGCTGCAGATAAATTTCAACACATAAGTATCTACCTGCCTGTGTGTAGGGGCTGCATGCCATTATGGCACCTGTGCAACTGGGTGCCTCAGTTGCATGGATCCCCTCCCCTCCCAAATACCAGCAGCTGCTTGCAAATTGAAATTTTTCAACATGTGGTTGTTGCAGGAAGAAGATGCAAAAGTGGAGGTAACGCTAAAAACATGGCCCCACTCTGCTGCCATCACAGATATAAAATACATATGAAAAAATGTGAAAAGGTCTCTATATAGTTCACCATGTGAAGATACGTTCTCAAAACTTCTCAGCCTTGAAAGTTTGTGGTATGGAAAGAAAATCTGTTTCACCGCAGTCCTATGACTACTCAGAAGTAAGCTCCACTGAGTTCAATGAAACTTGCTCCCAAGTGTGTTTAGGACAGCAGTCACACTTGCTTGGAGGTAAGCTCCATCAAGTGTGACTTACTTCTGCCAACCTAGCAGTTCAAAAGCATACAAGCATGAGTAGATAAATAGGTACCACTGTGGCGGGAAGGTAAACAGCATTTCCATGCACTCTGACACTCGTCACAGTGTCCCATTATGCCAGAAGTGATTTAGTCATGTTGGCCACATGACCCGGAAAGCTGTCTGTGGACAGGCACCAGGTCCCTCAGCCTGAAGCAAGATGAGCTCCGCACCCAATAGTCTAGTTGTCCTTTACCTTTTACATGTACCTACTTCTGGGTAGACATGCATAGAATTGTAGGAAGGTGCCCACAGGATCGTGGCTACCCCTCTAATTTGTTGATAAGATTACAGCTTTGTTTTTGAAAAAGATAATAATCTAAAGGGTTACTATTGCCTTATTTTTGTTTGTGGTTTAAGTGCGTATTTTTAATTGAACCTCATTCTAGGGGCTTAAGTAAATGATGAGGCAAGGTAGAAATTTAATAGATAAGTAAATTCTCTTTTGTATCAAATTATCTTTGTTGCCTTTTGCAACCAAGGCTTAACATTAAAATGTCCTGCATGCATACAATTTGCTATAATAATATTTTCCATTTGCTTTTTTGTTTTTCAAAAGTGCATTAAGCCTTAAATTGAAAGGGGGAGGGTACATTTTCCCCCCATATGCTATTTGTTAACAAAATGTTTAATTCTCTTCTGCAACAGAATTTCCAAAGTGTGGTCATTATTTTTAAAAATTGCTTCTGTCCATAGTTAAGTTGCTTGTCAAATTGCTGCCCCCAAAAGTGATGCTGTGTATTGATTATAAGCAATAATTACCGTACTTATTTGCCAAACTGCATTGCATGTTCAGACCCAGAAACTTCCCCCCTAAATAAATTCACACTTGACTCAAATTTTGGTTTTGGTTTTTGGCAGAATTTAGGCCACAACTTTATTGATTACAGAAAGTGACTAGCTCCCTGCCATGCAGGTAGCGCTAACCCAGGGTTCCAGCATAGGTCAGCCAAGGATGAACGCCTGGATAAGCGGAAAGCTGGGAACAGGCTATCTCTGCCACCCAAATGTCCCCCTGGACTCAGGCACGGGCACAGTCCCCTCTCAGGGGTTGACCAAACCATTGAGTCCCTGGATTCCTTTAACGGAATACCCTTCACATAGGGATGGCAAGAGTGTTTTCCCATCTCTATCACCTGAACCAGAGCCTATCCGCAACCTTACAAGTTGTGACAATTTGCTATGCAGTAGGCGAAACCCAAATGGCAACAGCCAATCAGCCAAGTGGGGAAAATTCCTGCCGTGCCCCTGTCCCAATGACAGACGACAGATGACGGCATAGCAAGATCAAGCGCAACAGCCTAAAAGTAGGGAGAGGTGGGCGGGTGTTCCGAATGCATGCACCGAAAGAGGAAGCTCTGGGTCACGTGCATGGGCATAAATAGGTCCCTCGAACCATTTAGACAGCGTCCCATTGGTCAGATTACACCCAGCTACGAGGGACCTACCAATCGGATGTTGTGGCTGACCAATTGTACCCACCCACAACACATGGTGTCGGTTTCCAGGTCTCACCGCAATACATGCCCTCTTTAAGGATGGACTTGATTTGTCACAACTGGCTTAAATAAAGAGGTAATTATGAGGGAACACTATTTAAAAATGCTATGTACATAGTGTTTCTGTAGCTTCTGAATTCATACCTAAATTAGAAGGATATATATGTATTTTGGAGTCTGGTAAATTCTGCCCTCACTCCTGCCCCGTCCAGGTAAGCTGCAGCAACACCTGTCTCAGGTGTGGCAGCTCTTTGACTAGGGATAGAAGAAGGCATCAGTCTCTGTTCTACCCCAAGTACATCACATGCAGTGCTATTTCTGTTCCGCTGCAGTTAGGCTTTGGGCAAAAACTACATTATTCGTCTTAGCTGTCCATTGTGTCAGAAATGTATGTAATTAATTATATTATTATGCTTTATTATGTTATTTCTGTTCTGGATACGGGATGAATAAGCGAACATCGGTAATTCCCACTGAAAGTCTATGACATCCCTATATTTGACACTGCCCCACCACACAGGCTGCTATTGGGAGGAGTGTACAATTTTTGGACAACCAATGCAGCCATACCTGGCTTTCTTAATTGGCTTTCTGATATGATTAATCTGATGGAATCAAGCTAGTAACTTCTAAGGTCATTAGTGATGCTGGGAGCAAGGGCTACAAGTGCATGGAATCTAAATGAGTGTATTTCAATGAATTAGTTTTAGAAGTTTCCTCCCTCCCCCCCCAAAAAAATTAATGTCACGTACAGGGCACACAATTCTCCATTAAAAAGACCTAATACTGCTTGGCTACCACCCTAATGAGAGGAGCTAATTCATCTACCAACAAGAGCTACCTATTTTTGCATGATTTAGAGTGGAATCCTGTGACTTCTCTTGATCCCTCATTTTATTTCTGCCCCTTTTCCTTCAGAATCACTCTCTTATTGCATTGCTCAGTTTTGTCTTCTTGGTCAAGTAATGTGACCAATGTCTGCCCTGAACCAAACTAACTTGTAGTCAGCAACTATAAGGAAACTGTGTTGGCGATGGATGATAATAGATACATTGCAGCAGCCATCTCTAATTAACAAATTCTTAATCCCACATGCTTCTTCTAATAATTCTTCATTATGGAAGTTCAATATTCTACCTGACCCTCTATCAGAATTCCCTTGACAGCAGTATAAACTTACATATTGGCAAAAATGCGGGTGATATCATTGAAGAAGTTAAGCATCAATGTAAGCTCGTAAAAGTTATCACTCTTAACTTTCCTTTTTGGCTCTAGAATTAATCAGTAATATAGACAGGTATTACATAGATTTGACACAGGTATTGAACTGGAGTAGCCCACTTGGCTGAGAGACATAAAAACTGACATACAACAGCAAATTGCCAAAGGTTTCACACTGTGGCAATTGCCACACCAGGCTTCATTTTATTAAAAGCAATTTAATTGCTTTCATTGCTCTCTGGAATGAAAGCTGAAAAGCATAACAATAGAACTGTTGTGATATATAATTGGGGGTGTAAGAGAATTCCATCAGAAATGGAAATGGGAGTGGAAGATGCCATAGTTTACATATTCAAGGTCAGAAATGGAATTCTGACCTCAGTGCCACAATACATTTCCAGAATTCTCATGTTTGAGGTCAGAAATGGTAATAATATGAACATACACCGTCATTCAATGTTGTTGTTTTTAGTCTGACAATGTTACATAAATAATCAAGCCATTTAATTTTCTGCATTTGTAATTTTTCCCTTTCATTGAAATGCAATGAGGTTCATTTCAGCGATAGAGGATAGCAAGAATAACACAGGTTTTAGCAAAGCTGAATCGCAGCAGAACAGAAACAGGTTGGGATGGAAGTCACTGTCTCCTTATACCCTTATGCTGAATGTTGGTGATTAGAAGCATAAAATTAAAGACTAGATCAGGTATGGGGGACCTCAAGCCCGAGGGTCAAAGGCTGCTCTTATGGCCTGTCTCTGTATCATGCCTTTGCTCAAGGCAGAAACTTTTACTGACCCAGCTCCTTGTCTTCGTCCTTTAGTGCTTTTGAGTCACTGAACTATGATTATGCCTCTTGCTTGCCTCAATGGAGGAAGAAACATGAGGGGGTAGATGACCTCTGACTTTTGTGTTGCTGGAATATAGTCTATCGTGCAAAAGTGGTGAGAATGAAGCTAGCAATAGAGATGGCAATGTTAACCAGATTAATGTTTAACCAGAGGTGTATACTCAGTGTGATCTCCTTTACTGTGCTGATTTCATATGGCTGGTTACTTTAAGTGTTTTAAAAACATGAGCAGTTTACTTGTCTGCTCCTGTGTAATATTGTTGTCTCATTATTGAGAAAATGTGTGTAGCGCAGAATTGCATCAGAGAGCTCATATCTGTAATGTATTTTGCCAACATATATTGGTGAAAGTCACCACCTATCAACTTCCACCTGCATCTGAGTGTTGGGTCCACATCTGGATTGTGGTGATTATAGATACAAGTAATTGAAATGCTCACCCCAGTCAACAACACAAAACATGGATATTGTATTTGTACAGGTGTAACTTTTTTTCGGGAGAACAAATCCTTGAATTATGGAGAAATTTAAAATGCAGATGGGAGAACAGCAATAGTAGATTGTGGGATGAGGTGGTGGTGCTCACCTGACCTCTGGTAGGTTGTGTTGCTGCTGTTACCAGGTGGTAAAGGGGGAGAGACAAGGTGGTGCCAAAGTTAGTGTGATGCAAATGCGCCTCTGGAAGCACCAAATGGACTCTGCCCTTGCATTTCCACCATGCTAACCTCACCAGTTCCTTGCCCCTTTCCTTCTGCCTCCCAGTAAGCAGTAGCAACATGACCAACTGGAGGTCTGTTTAGTACCCCCACCCCATTATACCATTCAATGATAGAGACCATATTCCACCAAGTTTTGAGTTCTTACAAATGAAATCCCATTCAGACAAGATGAGATGAAGCAAATTATATATTAACAAAATCTATAACAAAGATAAGGAACCTGTGGACCTCCAGATGTTATTGGAAAGCTCCAGTCACCCCCAGCCAGCATGACTGGTGGTCAGGGATGATGGGAGTTGGAGTCCAGCAACATGTGGAGGGCCAAGGGTGGCAACCCCAATGTACAAGACATGACTAAAGTGTGAATGTGAGTGTAACAAGTAGCAAATTAAGTGGTGAACTGGGCACAAAACCTATAGGTAAACACTTATATTGATTATTTCATAAATGTGGGAACATGAGTCCTCTTCAGATGTTAAGAAGTTGTTAAGTTGTAAGCTGACATTGCCACATTGAGTATCAAGGGCTGAATGGAACTTGTAAGCATGTTTGCCTGAGATGAACCAATATCCCTTAGATCATGAACCTCTGATGGGATCACTTGGAAGGCACTATGTTAGCAAAATTTGTATTATGTGCAGGGGCCATGCTAATCTTCTCTGTATCGTTCCAATTTTAGTATATGTGCTGCCGAAGCGAGCACATATGCTTGATATTTAAGTCCTTTGCAACACCTTCACTTGAGTGGCCTCAGTGTAACAGAAGCATGCTTGCACATGGCTGCATGGAAAGGATTACAGTCTGCTGACACTGGGATTTAGCAGGAACACATAAATATGTTATCTATATATTTGACGTCGTTCTTAGTTGGGAATACTGTTGCAAAAGAACTTGTTCCAGCTGTTCTTGTTGAAAGCTCTTGCTGAGAAGAAAAAAAGCCAAGAAGCTTTCCTTAGGTCATGCACTAATCAAATATTTTTTTGAGGAAAAACAGCTGGAACTGGACGATTCCACTCCCCCAAGCTATTCAAAGACTTGAGAGCAATCCTACTATCTTCTTGAGATAATATATAAAGCTGCTAATCAGCAGAAAGCATCATTCAAGCACCATGCTTGAGTACATGCTTCTTATTTGTTATTTGTTAATGATTGTTCTTTGAGTTGATTGCTTATTTCTCACACTCTCATTCCCCTGCAATTGAAAACTTTTGAATCAAGCCGATCCAGCTTTATCTGAACCACCACAAATCACTGTCATTATGCTTGCTTGCTTGTGTGCCCATCCACAAGGAGGGAGCCCAGTGATTACATCAGCCAGCCTAAAGGACCCTAACATTGCATGACAGTACATAACCCCAAATAAACTTCATAAAGTGGTTAATGGTCATAATTCTACTTGTTGCAAGTGCATTAAAGAAACAGGGGGCCATTCCCAATAGCAGGTGATAACTGGATAAACAAAGAAATGTATTAGTAGAATTCCCAGATTAAGTCTGAAACTTGGCGCTCTAAAAAATAAATGTTATTTTTTGTTTTGCATATAATAAAAACATAAACAGGAGTAAGAAGCTGCAATGGTTCTTATTCAAAATATTGGAGAAGATATAATAGTGTGTCCCTTAAAGTCAGGAGTAGGGAACTTCAGACCAAAGGGCCAAATGTGGGCTTCTAGACCTCTCTGTATGACTCTTGGGACTCTGTTCAGGCACCACACACCTCACCAGGCCATATCTCTTACTGCTCCTGCTCTGTGCCCTCATTGAGTGCTTTGTTCTGACTGGAATATGTCACTGAACTGTGATAATAATGCCTCTTGCTTGTGGGGGTGGAGATTTCAGAAATATGGGTGGGTGTCAAAAACCTTTGACTTTTGGATGGGTAAAATATAGCCTGCCAGCCAATAATTTGATGGTTTCCCTTATCATAATGCATCAAGCAGCCCTGGAAAACATTTATATTAAAGGGTGAGATATAAATTCATAAGAAGGATGTGGTTTTATTTCATTATTGGTGCAACAACTGTGGAGTTCCCTCAGCAAGAAAGTTCACCTGGTCAAGATATTTTTTCCTTCTCCCAGGCATTCTTTGAAATATACTCGGAGTCCTGTAGTGATTTCATGCTCTTTATTGCAGCTTGTAAAACAGTGATTTGAATTGACCCCCAAACCTCAGGCTTTTATATACATTATTTACACAATGAGTCCCGTCTGATTGCCTGATTCTGCTTCCCTCTTGGAGCCTGATTGGTCATTTCCTGCAGGCCAATCAGTTGTTGCATTCTAGGATCCTATTTGCCTATTGTTCTAGGATCCAAGCTTAGTACATAATATTTTTATTTATTAATTTAGATTTGCCAGAAAGGAAAATATATTTTGAAGACTGTTACTGAGGTATCAGAAATTCTTCTGAAGTTGTGGTGAATTTTTAGAAAGTGGGTTGGGTTTTTTTTAATTATTATTATTATTATTATTATTATTATTATTATTATTATTATTTTCCAGCTGGCAATGCATTGAGTTTGAGATCATTGAGAATGTCTTGAAGAATAACCATATCTTGGTGCAGGGATGGGCAATCTGTAGCCTTCCAGATGTTGTTGAACTGCAGCATGCATCATCCCTCACCACTGGTCATAGTTTGTAGGACTGATGGGATATGAAGTCCAGCAATGTCAGTTATATACAGATGAGTACCACATGCTTTCTATCCTTCCTGCAGGAATCCTTCCACGCCAGTTGCCATACAGTGCCCTACAGTGTAGCAACTTTTCACTTCCATATAATATGTGGGTTTTATTTTGAATTGCAGCCCTTGATATAAAAATGATGACTTAAAGGGCGGGGAGAGATGGTTTGGTGTGAAAAGACATCCCAGAAGGTGGAGAGTTTGTTCTTACAGTAACTAATTATTGTTTTGTGTTTCTCCTTCCTTTTCTCAATAGCACAAGTCCAGCTCACAAGTACTACCTAGCCATGGACCCAGTATCAGAATCCCTTTACTTGTCAGATACAAATACCAGAAGAGTTTACAAGGTGAAATCTCTCAGTGAAACCAAGGATTTGACCAAAAACTATGAGGTAGTGGCAGGAAAAGGTGACCAGTGCCTTCCGTTTGACCAAAGTCACTGTGGAGATGGAGGACGGGCTTCCGAAGCATCACTTCACAGCCCCCGAGGTAGGAGAATGACAGAAGCTGAAAGAGTTGTCCTTGACTGCGGCATTTAAAACAGGGTTATTGTTGGGCTCTACCTCCCATAAGCCCCAGCCAACTTGTAGGTTCCTCATCCCTGAGAAACTTCCTTTCATTATGTGAAGCTCATGGATGAAATGAGCCCTCAACAGCTGAGTGCAAGAAGTTACTTTAAACTCCCCCCCCAATATTTCAGCACCTTCAGTGCAAAGAATAATATATTTCATGTGTTTCAACTTGTCTGTTACAGCCATTGCCAAGTTAGACCATTGAGTTTTGTTTTGCTCTGTGCACATTCCCTCAAAAGATAGTGAGACTTCTGAGTGTGCAGCAAGGATAGAAAATTATAATTTATTATTAATACTTATGAAATTTGTATTCTGCCCTATACCTGCAGGTCTCGGGGTGGTTCACAACATAAAATCACAATATAAAAAGACAAAACACATAATAAAAACAAAAACAGGAAAAACTCAATAATCCCCTCCCCAATAATCCCGAACACATTTTAAAAGGGCAGTGGATGTCAATCAGCCAAAGGCCTGATTTTTGCTTGGCGCCTAAAGGTGTATAATGATGGAGCCGCTACAGAAAAGTCTTGTTCTCATGTTGCCACCTTCCGGTCCTCTCATGGAAGAGCCACATGAAGAAGGGCCTCAGAAGTTGATATCAGGGTAGGTTCATATGGGGAGAAGTGGTTCTTGAAGAATTCCTCCCCCAGTTTCCATTTCCTATGACCATTGGTTGTGCTGGCTAGGAGTTAGAGGAGTTAGAGTCCAGCAACATCTGGAGGGCCACAGATTTGTCCCACATTTATTTCAACTATTCTCCATCAATTAATGAGAAAAGAAATGGCATTTGAAAATAATCAAAAGGAATGTAATTTTTTCAGTGAAATTTCTGTCGATGGCATGCTAGGAGCACTGGCGGAGGAAGGGGGTGCAGTTAGTGCAGCTCGCCCTGGGTGTCATCCTGAGGGGGGGGGTGAGATCACCACCCTGCCCCCTGGGACACTCGCCCTGCCCCCATGGGCAGCTAGCTCCGCCTCTGGCTGGGAGGTTGTTGTGCTTAATCTTGTTTTTGATAAGGTGTCTGGGAAGTGTTTGTAAGTGTTTCTACAAATAATCTCATAAATGACCTGCACTCTGCAGTCTTCCCAGGTGCCTGTGATTCAATTCTGTACCCATATGCTTGATGCATCAAAGACATACTGGATTTTTTATGAGTAAAACCTAGCCAATCATTTTAACAGGCATTATAAAGGTGTTCAATTGCATAGGATGGTGGAGCTCATTAATGCACAGTGTGGGTAATTTGGAATAGAAAGTACCCAGCAACTCATGGGAAGGTGCTTAAAACCTTGCAAGACTGAGGTCTAATGTATTTGCTTCTGGCTTATTAGCCTTCTAGTGTACAGCAAATGCCTAATTAATAGCTGTGAGGGAAGGTTTGGTCCCGCCATCCAGCTCTGAAGTAATAAAGGAAAACTGTACATCAGTAGAAATTTGAAATTAACTGAGAGGCAGTGTAATGTCCATGACACATAAGAACCCTCATTTGAAAACCAGCTAGTAAGAGATTGCAATTATAGTCACTTTAATACATTTCTAATGATGGAAAATAAGTGTGAAATAAGCACAAATAAGTGTTAATATTCAGGCCAGCAATTAATGCAGGAAATCAACTCTAAAGGAAGGTGAAATATATGGATGTAGATACTTTTTTTCAAGAAAATAAGAATCAATGTATCACTGCTGACTGAAATTGATTATATCTAATTAAAAGACAATTATCTGCTCCGACTTATTTACTTGCTTGGTGGAAGTTTCTAACATGGAGGTTTCAGAATTGCCTGTGCAATTTCCCAAAACAATACTGTCATCATCTAAGTTACCTTGTAACCCTGAGCAACAATTCAGATAGTTATAATGATTTTCCCCAAGTAGCCTTGGACATTTGCAATATTTCAGTAATAGAAAAATAAATATGTGGGCCTATTTACTATTTGAATGGGATACGGTTCAAAAAATTCTCCATGAAACAGTGACAACCAATAACCTTTGCTCATCTATGTAGACTGTGTAATAAAATCCTTTACTAAAAACAAAACCCTTAAGAAAAGGTCTTGATAAAATCCAGACTACATGGAGTTGTTCACAAACGAATAGGTGGGATTACTGCCCTGTTCTCAACAGAGATACACACCCTTGTAGGGACCAGGTGCATTACCCAGCTGTCCTGCTATGTTCCTGCTCTACACAACAAGCCACTTCATCTAACGCTGTCAATGCCTGCTAATGGAGGACAGATACCTTGCCACTGTCATCCATGCTTCGTAGATGATTTTAATGCAGTGTGCATGGGGCTGTCTTTGAAAATAATCTGGTAGATTCCACTAGTGCAGAACGAGACAGCCTCCCTTCTTTTAACAGGAGTAGTCCAACATTAGCGTATATCATCCAATTCTTAGTTGTTGCACTGGCTGCCAGTTCATTTTGGGACAGAATTCAAAGTGCTGGTTCCTCAAAACTATATAGAATGTTGTTATCGATTGGTTTCCCCACCCAGGTAATCCATGAACGCATTGGCAAAGGTTAACATTTACAAAAGTATTTTAGAGGATCAAGCCAGACATCATAATTGCATATTGTTTGTGAACCTTGTAATTTCAGTTTCTCACTAAGCATATGTATTTCCACCAAACAGGTTTTAAATGGCATATTTTCATGTTCTGCCTAGGTAATTCAAGTGCATGCAAAGTCATATTAGTTCTGTTTGGTCTTATGCTTCTTGTGTTCTTAGAGCAATAGTAACTTTTTATTTTTTAAAAAAGTAAGAGATTGCACACCTTTAAACTCTAAATCAGTTACCTCTTATTTTAATTCTGTACCATGGCGGCCTATAAATAAGTAATTGCATAAAATTGCTTTAGTAATTCCTCAATGGTAGCTTTAATTGAAAGAGTCAAAGATATTTAGAATGGGTGACATGCAAATTGTTAGAAATTGTTATGTGTTAGAACCATAAAATTAACCAATTGGATCCACTTTTTCCCTATTTAAAAGTTTTATGAGAAACTGCAAATTCTTTCTGAATACAATTGGCATGTTTTCTTTTTATCAGACGTCTCTGGGAGTTTATGAAGTTTTCTTGGGGAATTTTATTTTTTTGCAAGTTGAATTAGAAATGTAAAATAACTAAAGTTATTTCAAGCAAAATAGCTAAAGTTAATTCAGCTACAGTTGAATCAGAAATGTCATATTACTAAAATAGTACAAAAGAACCCCCTCCTTCTGAAAGGGAACTTTCCAAGAGGGAAAAGACATCAGGAAAAAATGAATGCAAATTCTCTAGCTACAGATTATGCCCATCAACTGCATATGTATGAATTCTTCCATTTACATATCTGTTTTCAAGATGTGTTGGAGGTTTATGGCTTCCTTATTGCATGATTGACAGTTCTATAGATAGTCTTTGCAGAGGTAAGCTCAGTGAGGCTTACTCCCACATAAGTGTGTACAGGATTACAAACCTAAGCTAGTTTCTCTCATGCAGAAAATGTGATGTCTTTGTCTAAGAGGCACATAGATGCCCCCTGAGGCTTTTTCTATATGTGATAAGGGACAGGATCTTCCACTAAAAACTGGTGTGATGTAGTGGTTAGTGCTGGGAATCCCCACTCAGCTGTGAAGTTTATTGGGTACCTTTGTGCCAATCACTCTTTCTCAACCTAACCTACCTCACAGGATTGTTGTGAAGACAGAATGTGGAGAACCATGTGTGCCACCTTGGGGAAAAGGAGGGATATAAAGGCAATAATAAATAAATACCAGTTGTTGGGGTCAAACAACAGGGCAGTATGATTCAAGAAGGCTTGGAGTGCTAACGGAGTTGTTGCTTTTTTCTCTAAGAAGATCCCAGGTTCAGATCTGGGCACAGCTATAACATTGTGATTTGTTTATTTATTCCATATAATTTATATTCTCCTATTTTCCTCCCAGAACTACAATTCCCCAATGATTTAAGAATAAATCCCTCTTCACATTCTAAGAAGAATGTGTTCAAAAAGAAAGAGAAGACTGAGAACAGCTCTTGCTCCATCTATGTTCTTCATAACTTATCAGACCATTTGTCCATCTGGCTTAGCCTTGTCTGCTCCAAGGGGTAGCAAATGTGGTGCTCTTCATATATACCCATAGTTGGACTACAACTCCCATGATTCTTGGCCATTAACCATACTGGTTGGACTGATAAGAATTGTAGTACAAAATAAATAAATCTAGAGGGCACCATTTTGGGTACCCCTAGTTTATGATCACTGATTGCAGCTCTCTGGGGTTTCAGACAGGAGTTTCTCCCAGCCCTGCCTGGAAATGACAAGGATTAGAACCAAACTAGATGTAACATTGATGGGGTTTTAAGTGATTTGAGATTTTTGTTTTTAATTCAAATAGCTGCCATGGAAAAGAGGAAACAGGATTAAGACTGTGACATGCCAGGATATGGGTTAATCCTTTCTCTTCTTCCACCATGGCGCTAATGATGCTCACACCTGGAAATTCATTCATTTATTTATGATTATGCTTATATTTCACCTTTCCCCCAATGAGGTCAAGGAAGCATACATGGTTTGCCTCTCCCCCCCCACCACCGCCTTTATCTTCACAAAAACCTGGAGAGGTAGATTAGGCTAAGAGATAGTGATGCAGAAAACTCACCCTCTGAGCTTCATGTCTGAATGGTGATTTGAACCCAAGAGTCTAACTGTTTTAGTTCCGGGTGGGCTTACTCACAATTACCATCTTGCCTCGTTTAACCCTCATAATAGGGGAGGAGCAATATTGATTACCATGTCAATGGTATAAATTGTAACAGTTCCACTAGTGCGTGAGAACACAAAAAGGGCGGGGGGGACAACACTGTAGATAGCTTTAGGCTGCAATCTATAAAACAATTGAACAGTTGGGTCTGTTCTATTGACTCGA